GCCGTAATATTTCAAGAAGTTGTATAAGACAGACCACGATATATGTTACCAAAAAAAGTTTCATAAAAATCGGCTCAATTTTTTTTTCGACAACGAATTGCAAGAAACGGCTCGGTAGATTTTCACCTAAAACTAATCAGTATCATTTCCAACTAATATCTTTTGAACAGTTTTTGATTTTTTAAAATCGGTTCGGTAGTATGGGCTTAAATGTGGACGAAAAGTTTAACACTTTTTTCTAAATTTCAAAGGAACGGCTCGGCCGATCGTCGTACAAAACTGACAAGCGATAGTCCTCATTGAGACACATCAAATGCTTTACAAATTTCTGAAATCGGTTCAGGCATTTTTGAGCAAACGTCTATGAAAGGTCTAATTTTGACAAGCGCCAAAAACACGATACTAATTTTTGCAAACTTCGACGAATTTTTAAAGCTAAACGAGTTGTCGTAGGGCCGTAATATTTTAGTATGATCTAGAAGACTATGGTATCTACTGTCAAAAAATAATAACACACACACACATGCACGCACGCACATACTTTTTCCAAATTTGGTCTCATTCGATTCAGAATGGCTTGAAACGTCGAGAAAACATTAAATTAGCGAATCGGATTTTTTTATGAAAACATAATCTTTTTCGGGAAGTTAAATATACGTTATTTCATTGTTCAAAATATGTATCGCAATTTTTGACTTCAATTCAACAGTTTTTAATGTCTTAACGTCTTAACGGAGTTTTACTGAATTTGGGGAAGACACAAGCGAAATAACGTGTCGTTTGACGTTCGGCTAAATTATATTGCATGATAAAATCTATTGAACAACTAAATATATTAATTGAAATATATTAATGCTTATTGATAGATACCTTAAAAAAATCTGAATTTCATGAAATACTATTCAATTATTATTTGGGAATAAAACAGTGCTGCAGTTTCCATATTTCTTACTCTAATCTCACATACATTATTCTTAGGTTCAAGTTTTAATACATTTTTTATAACTTTTACTGCTTAATTTTAAAATATATTACATGAATTTAGTGCATATAATTTTCTTCACTCATAGACCAATTTTATTAGACGGTTTCTAAATATGTAACGATATTTTTATTTTCTCAGTCCTTTTTTCAAATGAAGCCACTTTGCATATAAATTAGGTTTTTCATTGTGGAACCTTTTTTCTGGAAACAGTATATATATTATGCATACATTGTCAGGCACTACTTTTTATATCCAACATGAAATGGTAGAGAAGGAAATATTTATACTTTTATTTACTGCTTTTTTATGTAACATACATATATTCTATAGTCTGCAGGTAATAAACTTTAGCGTCGACTAATGATAAAAAAAACTAGTACTCTATCGTAACTAGTTTTTAAATTTGCTTTTTTAGAAAAAACAAAATTTGGGTTTTCTGATATTTATTTTGGGCTTGTCTTCGGTTCATTTTTTGAAATTTATTTAAATAATGAAAAGTTTGAAAGACAATCTGCCTTTTTGAAGAGACTTCGTTAATTTTTCCTTTTCTTATATTAAGTGTGGTCAATTATATTAGTACGATATGTGACAATTTCTTCATATTGTTTCTATATACATTTATATATGTATTTTATAACAAAAAAATATTATCTAGTTCAACTTCCACAAATCGTACTTGTTATGTTATACCGCTTACCGATTAAACCGCAAAATATGATATTAGTGTTCATTGGGCGATGACGAGGTGTGAAAATGTTCAAAATTTACAGTTTTCTGACTTATTAGATAATAGATATATTTCTAACAGATATATGAACGTACAGATTATATTATCATTTAGGTTCATATCAGTTTTTCTTCTTTTGAATTCGGCGGTCAGGATAAAAATAAATATATTAAATTAGTTCTATACAAGTAACAGATAAAATAGTATTATGTACGTATATACATGGTCTGTTCAAAAAGTACCCGGAATTACTAATAATTAAATTTCGCGGGTCTGGAGTGTCTGATTGTCAAAATTTTTTTTTTATTGTGTTGGTATACATGCCCCTAAAGTATGATGAAATTTTCAGCTATATTCACTGTTTACTTTGTCTGTGGTAGTCGCTAAGGTTCGACGTGTTTTTCTGAGCTCGGCGATTTTTACAATGGAAGAATTGAAAAAGTCAAAGAATTTGTATTAAATTTTGCGTAAAAAATGAAATAAAGTGTTGCAAAGTGCAAAAATTCACCAGATATGGCTCCGTGTGACTTTTTCCTATTCCCAAAGTTGAAGAGACCCATGAAAGGACGGCGGTTTTCCTCGATTGAAGAAAATCGCCGAGAGTGCTCAAGGACATATCAAAAAGTGAATATCAAGGGTGCTTCGAAAATTGGAAAAAACGCTGGCATAAGTGTATTATATCTGGGGGGGACTACTTTGAAGGGGACCACATTAATGTAGACGAATAAATAAATATTTTTTTGAAAAAACGAAAATTACGAAAACTTTTTGAACAGACCTCGTATATATACATATGGTATTAATATGACGAAAATGTTATTTTAAAAGTATTTTTTAATAAAATTATTAAAGAAAATTATAATTATTTCATTTTCTACTTCATTCCAATAATATGATTTTCATCTCAGATTTCTTCGACATCGCATGATCCCCACGGATTACATTGCATTATAATTCAAATATAATTCCACGGAAGCATACAATTTGTAAGAGAAATGTTATTTTTATATTCTGCCTCTTATTAAATTTAAACATGAAGCAAAAGTATCTTTATCCAAGTCATTTAATAATGGATATTCTAGAAGTCTATGAATGCGGTGATACTCGAGCTTCTTCGTCTAGTTTTCTTTCACTGAAAATTGTATCTTATGAATTAATGTAGTTGATATTGGAAAATGAAAGAAATTCTTTGTGTGATCTTTATACCATGGAGACTGTTTTAATATCAAAGTAATATTTGCTTTGGAAATTTATTGTTTTCAAAAAAAAAATCGAATTATATTCGAATTTTGATATTTCACGTTATGTTCATAATTTGTTATTAAACTGAGATGTAGAAAGGTTATTATGACCACATATAATAATATTTTATTGTTTTAAAAATAATAATACTTTAGTTTTTTTACTTTGGAGTTAAAAAATGTTATTAATTATAATAATTTAATATAAGATAAATTTAATTTTCTATCTATTTTATAAGTTACTACAGGTCTGTCTGACTACATACATTAATGCATTTGAAAGCTTCAATCAGCTTTCACAACGCTCTGCATCATCAACTTCAAAATTGCTAAATAGAATTTTGCAGATCAGTTTTGGCACTGGCTTACTGCCAATATACCTTCTCGACTCACATCGGTTAATTTCCTTTTGATATCTTTACATGATCTATAAGAAAAAGTGGAATGTGACGGAAATGTAACATATAGCTTCTCAAATATCAACAAAAAACTACTATGTAAAATGAATTAGACGTGTTTCAAAATTTAAATTATTTTTGGAGATGTAGTTTGCCCAAGACAATCCTCCACTGTTTCATTCCTAGGCGAAAGTTTTGTGTTTTTCGATATTATAACCACGATTTCTCAACTTCTACCAGATCGATTTACTTGGATTTTGTACGAGTCTTCTTTATAGATTGCTTTTCAGTACGGACTACAGTTAACCCTAAATTACTATTTTAACTATTTTTAAAAAAAATGAAAATATCAAAGAAAAGTTGTAAAATATATATTTTTATCAGGCAGTCTATTTTGTGAAACATTTTTTTAACTTCTCCGCAGTTCATACGATTACGACATTAATACAGATTGATAACATTCCTTTTTTTCGTTCAGATTATTTGAAGGGCTAAAATCATGATCAAGTGCCAAATTTTTAAGACCCCTCACCTCATTACCTTCTAGAATTAAAGCTTTGACTGTTTTATTTTTTTATATATCCTCAAAAGGTTAATTAATAACTTGTAGGAACAAATATCGTAAAAATATTATTTGCCCTTTTTATGGCTTCTCAAAAATCGCATAAAATTCAAGACTCTGTACCAAAATACCACCTTAAGTGAAATTTGTTGAGATAAATTCAAAATTAAATTTTCTTTCGATGGAAATATTACTCAACATATATTTTTTTTAATTACAATATCTGTTAAAACTGCAAAATAATGATATGTTAAAGTTGTAAGAAGTATATTAGAAGATATAATTAAATAGTATTTTAAATTGTACTAATTGATATCGAGATGCAATTTCATTCTGCATTTTTTCACCGAACATTTTTTTTTAATATTAACTACAGTTTTTCCTGTAGGGTGTTCAAATGCAAAATCCGATATATTACGAGCAATTATTCGAAATATTTCATAAATTCGTGAAAATATCATATATAGCATAATACAGCGTTAGATTAATCTCAAAATTTTTAGTTTTTTCTCCAAATATCGTAACTTTGTATTTTAAACGGTTTTGCCTATGGGTGAGACAGACTCTTGACTGATACTTCGATTATGTTGTAAACTATGTATTTAAAATATTTTATAAATTCATAAAGAAACTATATAAAGTATTTGTACTTTTGATTACGTAGTTATAGAATTTATTAAAACTCTCCTTCGATAATTCAGGTTGTTGGGTTATAATTAAACCCTTGTAGCTGTGGACTGTATTAAACACTGATTTGTTTGTATATTATGTATTTGTTGCAGTTCTAATTACAATCACTGATTTGTTACTAAGTTATAATGAAAGAAGATATATTTATTTTTATTAGTTCAATTAATACACTTTGCTACCCTTTCTACCAGGGGTAGCAACCATCCCGTGTAAATCTTAATGCCCTGAAGTTTGTCACCTTCATGGCCAATATAATAAAACAAAAAGACATCCGAACAGTATTATACATTGTTTTTGCCTCTGATAGACGAGCAAATTTAAAACTTGGAATCAAATTTTATGTCTTCAATTATTTTTTCCTCGATTATTATTAATTATGTGTCTTTTTTTCTTAAAGATGTCGCAAGAAGATGAGAGTACAGAACAGCCGAATCAAGATCAGGGCGCGCAGCATGCGAAGAAGGCCCGCACGGCGGAAAACAAGGTGTCGATGAGGCCACCTCAGATTGTTCCGAAGAATAAAATTATGAGGGATCAAGAGAATCCATTGAGCAAGAGGAGCAGGCAGAGAAATAATAAGCGAAATAAGTTGAAGCAGACCAACCAACAGAATTGGAAGCAGGTTCATTATGGAAATAATAGGTAGGTTTAGAGAATTAAATTTAAAAATTAAAAAATCAGTTGAAATATTTTTCCCACAGTATTACAACCTGCCTGGTTAGGCAATCAGTAATTTCGGTGGTAATGTGTAGATATAAGATTTTAAAATGCTATTCAGTGGTAGTCATTTTAGGTTTGAAAATAGATTAGATAAATATACAGAAATAATCAGTCTATATTACATGCTATTTTGCTAAATCTTAAGTGTTTGTTCTTTTGAGTCTTCTGGGTATGTTAGAGGAATGCAAGTTTTTTAAAGTTGGCTCGGGCGATATTCTGTTACCATGAACTTATTGGAGTCCTGGTAGTTTAGTCAGTTTAGGACAGTTTAGGACAGTTTAATTTTAGTTCTAAAATATACTAAATTAGTTCAAAATGTACTGAACTTTTAGTCCGCAGAATATTATTTTTCGTCTTACTTCAACATACTACAAATTGAAACGGCATTGCTCTTGCTGATAGACTGCTATCAGAGAAAACTTTTGATATGCTTCGGAAATTAACATGATTGTAAAATGACATTTATTGATTGTACATAATCTATTAAAAATGAATACATCTAAACATCTTTCCAAGTTATTATAATTGCTAGTGTTCCCAGTCGTTTGTACTACAATCCAATTTAATTCTTAAATCGAAATTGAAACTAAAACTCATAATCCAATTCATTTAAATGACTCTGCTTTTGCGGTAGGCTTTTATTAGAGAAAACTTTTGATTAATAAACTTACCTAATCAAGAAAAAAATTACTATTATAATAACAATGTAAGTTAATGTAATGTTAGTATTCCAAGTCGATTGTACTACAATCCGGTTTAATTCTTGAATCGGAATTTAAATTTAAATTCATAATCTTATTTTGTAACATTGCTTTTTCTGGAATGCTGGCAACAGAGAATTTTTTTATTAATATATTTAGGATAATAATAAAATTTACATTATTAACATGAATGTAAAAGATGTAATACTAATTGAAATTATTCGAAAAAAAAATCTTACTAAGTTAATATAATCTTAGTCAATTATAGTACAATCCTATTTAATTCTTGAATCGGAATTGAAATTTAAATTTATAATCCAATTGGTATAAAATCACATTGTTTAGCTGGTGGACTATTATCAGAAAAACTTTTGATTAATATGCTTAGGAAATTAATATGAATGTAAAGATATCATTCATTGATCGAATTTAATCGAGAAAAAAAGATTAATTATCTTACTTATTGTAAGTTAATGTAATCTTAGTGTTCCTAGTCAATCGTACTACAATCTGATTTAAGAATTAAATCAGAAATGACATTTAAATGCATTATCCAATTTTATATAAATGACATCGTTGCTTTTACTGGTAATCATACGAAAATTATTTAGATTATTTAATTATATTTAATTTTGGCAATCATATAGAATAATTGATTAGCAGGATTTCAAATTATTTTTCTGAATAATTTGTTTTATTTAATGTTAGCTTTATAACGTTTTAACTACATACTTCAAACATAACTAGCTGAATATGGAAGCTATTAATTTATATGATTGGAGGGAAAATGTTCATGCATTTGTTTAATTAAATTTATATTAAAATCATTATTATTATCGCATCGACTATATATTTTTGCTGAAGTTTAATCGTCGTTGTGATCTATATGTCACCCACGCATTAATTTAAACAATGGTGTCGTACATTTACGGAGTAAATAATAGGTAATATATCGGTCATCGATGATGTGTGAAAATTCAAATGATTTTCTGCATTATTTTTTCAATTAACACTATTTTGATATGCTATTTAAATAGGCGTCATGAAACGCAGTAGAGTTTTGTTCACTTTTTGTATAAATTATTATGTTCACAATGGTTTTCAATATAGCATATGCTTTATATGTGCTTATTATTTATTCAGTCCATGCACGCCACTTATTAAACATTCATTGATATAAATGTATTTTACATTACTTTAACGATTGTTATTTACTGTTGATTGTTTTGTTGTACGACTACCATTGAGTAACCAATCTTTTTAAGAATGTACACTGAAAATTATATCACGAGCCATCTTTTTAGAAAATGATTTTAATTTAGATAAATAAAAATATAATGATAATTCTGCGGTTTATTCATATTGATAAAAGATATATCATAAACCACTAAACATAGGTTTAAGTGTTGAATTTTCAATATGATTGGTTTTTTAATGATACTATAGAAAAACAATAATGTAATAGTCAGATAAGATTTTTTCAAAAAAAAAATTACTCGATTTTAAAAAAAAATCTCCAACTTCTAAATCGTGACTACAGCAACAAATTTATCATTCTTCTATTAATGTGTCCTTTAGTGATTTTTTTGTGATCTTTTTTGTGGAGGCTTTTGTTTATTATTTGCCTTGAAATTTGCAAGTAACAGCTATAGCACTTCCTATTAATAAACATTAATTAATCGTTAACTTTAATATTCTTGGAAATCAAGTTTATAAATTTATTTTACTGTAGCTGGAAGCTCAACCACTGCGCTACCAAATTTTATATTTTTCTCATGAAATATTCAAAAACGAATGATGTTATACGTTTACTTTTTATAATGTTTTTTAGTTATAACGACAAATTATTTTAATAATTTAAAGAATCAATTTTATTTTTAAAAAGAATGAAAAGAGGCAAAATGAATTTTATTAGATTGGCATCTAAGTAAGTGCGAATTTTTGTTAGAAAATTAAAGACGTTTTTTCATGCAACTAAATATGTTTTTTTTGAAATGCATCGTCGATTTTAATCACTGGCTTTTAGTCATCTTTAAAGCGGCATCATTATCCTACTTCCATGAAACGTCTGGTTTTTATTAGCAAAAAACTGAATCAGGTACAATTTGATATCATCATTTTTTATTTTTTTTTTAAGTCAAGGATTTTGGTAAAGAACGAAACTAAAAGTAATCAGATGGTGTAATGTCAGGACTATATGTTAGATTTGGCAAAACATCCCAACCAATCTCCAAAAAATTTTTGCGTGTGGCCAAATATATGTGATCTTAGTAATGGAATAGCTTTTTTCAACTGCATTGTTCAACTCCGTTAGTTGTTTAATGTAGATATCAGAATTGATCATTCTACTGGTGGTAACAGTTCAAAGTAGACAATGTTTTTAAATCAACTTCAACAGTACGACCAGAGCGTTTTTCATCTTCGAGTGAAAAATCACCCAAACGTAATTTGGCAAACCAATTTTGACATTGCCGTTTTTAAGACTTTGTTACCATAAACGTATGATTAAGATGCCTCTTTACCCTTGCAGAAATAAGAGAAAAAATGACAAAAAATTTTCATTTTTCATTAACCGATGGATAAAACTTTTTTTTACTGATGGACATCTAAATTGTCTACTAGTATTATCCAATAACAAAGGTATTTTATATTTAGACTACGTTAGCAAACTTACAAATTCGATTTTATCCATTTAAGCTGAAAACCGCACTTACTTAGTTGCCAACCTAATAGTTGTTATTTGAATAGAACATATTTTTGCGTTTGATAACCTGGATAACAAAATGGTTTATTCAAAATATATCATACATTTTTCATTAACCAGGTATGTTCTTTCCAATGACGTCCAGATTTCTAATTTCTCGATTCTTGTAAATAATAAAAAAATGTTCTTATCAAACTAATACACACGTTACTGATACGGTACTAACATATGTGACGTAAGATCGAAACGTGTCCCTACCCGAGCGTGAGCGCTTATGATAGCAGCCTCTTCCTTCGATATGCTCCAATCTAATTGTTTTTCAAATGTAAATATTATCATATGAAGGAGCATCGTTTTTCTATAAATCAATGAACCGTATATTTTTAACATTATCGTTTTATTGCATAACACATATATTAGTCACGTTTTATTTTGTTCAAAAAATTCTTTCAAAATAATTCTACCATATGTTGACGTACAAAGTGTTTACACATTTATTTCATGTGTTATTATATGTGCTTCCAAATCGGATTTGTTTAAAATTCTAGGTTTGATTATTGCCTCATGTTTGTTCCTACATAATTTAGATTAAATATATATGTATAAATATGTTTAGGATAATTAATTTTGATGTCTAAAATGATTACAATTTTAGAAGGGATAGTATTAAATAAAAAAGGAAAACCTTTTAGAAAATTTTTATTTTTTCATTTGTTTCCACATATAATTTTCTATCAATATCAGTGATAATGAACAAATTATCTAATAAGAACTATAAAATATATCAATATTGATAAATATAATGTACATAATTGGCACTAGCCTTCTGTAATTGTGAATTAGCCACGAAAAATCTGCTCATAGTCTCATAGAATTATTCAATTTTTTTATAGGCTGCTTATACATATTATAATAAAACAGTAGATGAATATGTGGTTATAGTTATAATGAATCGTAACCATTTTCTGAGATGATCGAGGTATACTTTTGTTTTTGAGATCTGGTCCATGGTATGAGAGCACCACTAATCAATGATTCCTTTCCTTCCCCTGTTTATTACTCCCATTACCAATTTATTACCATTAATCCAATTCACTCTTATGAATTTTCTTTTCCAAACTTCTGTTTCTAGGCTCACTGATCTGGTGCTTTGTTTTTCAGTTCTCTGCATTTTCTCTTCTCGTGTAAGTCATCGATCATTTACACTCATTTTTTTTGTTTTTCTTCCAGTCATTTTAGTACTTCCATTCTTCATGCAGCGACGTCGTGTAGAAGGCATTTTTTTGCAGAATGGGTCCGATCTAGTTTCCTTTCTTTTCAATGATCTTGCTCAGTAGAGAAAGAACTCTACTCTTCCCAGAACTTCCTTTGTTACTTTATCTGTTCACTCTATCTTCCCCATTCGTCTACAGCACCACATTTCAAAACTCTCCAAATTATTTTTATCGGCCTTTCTTAGAGTTCATGTCTCTGATCCGTAAAGAGCTATGCTCCAGACATACATTTTATTAACCTGTTTCGAAAGTCGAGACTCAGTTTGGTCGTCAGTAGCGTCCTTCGTGAATACCACTTTGGAGCTTGCGATCCTTGCCAATAGTCAAAGATTTATACGCATGAGGAGTATAGTTGCTAATACACAAAATTCTTTCACTACTTCATGACGAGTATACTCAATTTAAAAAATCAGAAGATTTCTATGAATTATTACTATTTTAAGGGGGTTGTTCTTTTTTTTATTGTTCTTTGATTCGGTTTTGAGATTTTTTGATATTATGAAAGCTAAAAACCTTAGAATTATTTAAAAAAAATCATCTCAATATCTATTTTTTTGACGAAGTTATAGATATATTTATCTCTATATGTATGATCCTCTGAAAGCGTTTTTTTATCGCTCGCGAGCTATTGTATGCCAGCTGCCTCTTTTTTCATTATAATACCTCATGCACATGACCTTTTTAATGTGTCAGCATCTTTGAACACCATTGTGTATTTAGTACATTAAATTAAAAGGTATATTTAGTACATTATATTAAAAACTTTAAATACGTTTTTCTCAAATTGACTTTTTTCAATGCGGTGCCACAAATTAAAAAAAAACTACAAGTCGGATTTTTAATTTGTTCACCACTGCAATACCTAGTCCCCCTACCTCAAACAACTTGATAACATTACGCAAAAAAATTTTGCGAAGCTTCTCCCCCCCAAAAAAGGTCTTTTTTGACACTTTTTTTTAAATAGCTGCCATTTTTTTCCTTCTTGCTTTTTTTCTCTCATTTTGGTAGGGGGACTGGATTCAATTTTCTTCTTCAACGTAGTTTCTTTTTTTTTTTTGTTTTGCGCAACAGATTTATCTGTGGCACCGCAAAAAAGATCGATTTTGCAAGACCGACTTTGGCGCCCCCTGGTTAAAAAATGACGGCGCAAAAAAGAAGAAAATCACGTAATATTCTATGACTTTGTAATTTTTGTTTAAAAAAAACCGCATGTCTCTATGATAAATACATTTCGAGAAAAACAAAAACAAATATCTTGCATTTTTTGTAAGAAAAAAAGAACAACCCCCTTAATACATTGAATGTATTTTAAATATGAAAAAATATACAAGAAAAAATAATGTAACATTTTTATTCAATTTTTTATTTCTTTGAATAGTGTTGTTTAATTTTGATATTAATTTATTATTTATATCACTAGGCACAAGAACAACAATGCTTCCACCGGTGGCGCCGTGAAGAACAATAACAAAGACGAGCAGCTGCAGCACAAAACCAGCAACATGCGTTCCCGGAACGTTTTCTTGAACGCGACGTTCACCATGGGCCGAAAGCGCGCGATGACATTTCCCGGAATATCGAAGTTCTTCCTTCCCTACAAGCGGCCGCGCAAAGAGTGCATCATACCGCCCACCAAGTTCCTGCTGGGCGGCAATATAAGCGACCCTTTGAATTTGAACAGCCTACATGACGAGGAAAGTGGCGCATTCAATAAAACGACAGATGACATACCGGCTATGACGCCAGAAGCTGCGACACCGGTTAGTCCGAAGGAAGAAAAATGTGAAGGGAAAGATTCGGCAGCTTGCAAGAAGGAGGAGAATAAAAATAAATGTACGGAAATTATTGTGAAAGTTGAACCTGCGGATGAGAATTTGACTCATAACGCACAGCCACAAGTAAGTTCAGAAATTTTAAAGCGATAAGTCTTTTAACCCTTTTGCTACGAAGCGTATGTTGACTTGACCCTTGCTTCAAGATTTATCATCACTCCAAATTAAATTATTGAGAAGTTTAATTTGCAATTATAATTTTTAACTTCCCGTAGGGCAAGTTATAGTAATAATCGCAAAAAAATCGAAAATGAAAATTTTTATATATCTTTACGTTTCAGAGGTTTCTGAACATTTTGGCATACCATTAGAAAAAATGGATGTATGTGTGTGTGTGTGTGTGTGCGTGTATGTATGTACGTGTGTGTATGTATGTGCGGATACAAATTTTCGTCGACGATTTCGGGAACACGGATCATTCGACTTGAATAATTCAAAAAGCATTCGATTCGTATTGATAAGGAGACGTGCTGATTAGTTTTTGGCGAAGGCAGATACAGCCGTTCCGAAGATACGGGGCAAAAAGTACCGAAAACGGTAACTCAGTTTTTAAGAGAACGGAGCGTCCGATTTTAATGATTCAAAAAACATTTTACTTGTATTGACAAGATGAAGAATTGATCAAATTTTCATGAGGGCAGGTCTAGCGGTTTCGGAGCTCTAACGAAAAAAGTAAAAAAAAAATGCCATTTGGCGGTCAAAAATGATCATTAGACATATGCACATCAAATTATCAGATATTTTATAGAGATTTAAATAATAAGTATAAATTTTGTTTACATTCCTATGGGTTCCGTACCAATGTTTATCCGTTAGACAGCAACGCGGCGCTTACGCGCTTTATATTTTGTCTCTATGCAGTTAAAGCAGTACGATTGCTTTGAAAAAAGTTCAGATCTTCCAAAATATGTCAAAATAAAGAAAAAAAAATTTTCACAAAAAAAAATTTATTTTTTTAAATTTTTTTAGAATTTTTTTTTTTTTAACTTTTTCAAGAAAAAGTAATTCTTTGTCCAATTTATAGTTTCTCAAAAATCTTATTTTTGCGAAGTAAAATTTTTTCAAAAATGTTAATCGTTTTTAAAAAAATAATAATTTTTGGTACGGGAAGTTCCAGCAATTTGCCTTAAGGCACGATGCCCTAATTGCCTTAAGACAGAATTCCACTTACAGCTAGTTAGTTCTTTAGTAGTGTATCTTTCAATTTTTAAATACTTTATTGGTAATGGTTGAAAAATCTTAAAATACTTGTTGTGGCTGGATCGTTCAGTAGCGCTACTGGGCGGCTACCTGTTCCGTACAGCAGTATCACTTCTGCGAAAAACACAGCCGTAGCGAAAGGGTTGAATATGTTTTGGGTATATATAGTTACGAAAATTAGCTATGGCTGTTAATAAATTGTATTTCTAATGTCAGAGACTTGAATAATTTAAATATAACTTTGTTTTTTTGTAAATTGATGTGCTTGCTGCAGTAGTTACAAAAAATAAGTTTCTTATTTTTCATTATTTGTTTGATATTGACTTTATATATTGGATGATGTTTTTTTATTTTTCTTTCATTTTCGCTACTAGTGTCTTCTACGGCGACACTCGCTTGACCTGTGCGTACAAATGTTGTCCATAGACGACATGCATTATGTCAATTTTTGCTTCAAAATTCATCACTCCGAAATAAATTGTTGAGAATCAAAGTTTTCTATCGTAATTTTTAGTTTTTTAGAAGTGTAATTGTTGATTTTGAAATACATTTTTGTTAACAATAATTAAAATTTATTTAAATTTTAAAATGTATTGTGTAAATGATACTTGGGTAGCTCGCTGGCCGTAGCGAAAGTGTTAAATTGGTCATTAAAAGAATATCATAAAAAATATATTCTGATTTGAGCGTATTTTTCACCCTGTAGTTGAAAGCTTTGCGACAATTTTTTTTTTAAATATTTCAACGTATTCTTTGCAAACTGTTCAAAATGGATATTCATCACATTTTTGACGATTATAAATAAATAAAATATCAATAAAACTATGTTAATGTATAAATAGTGAAAAAAATCCCAGTTGCACTTGAAAAATACTCAATCGAAGCTAGCCAACGCACTATTGACAAATGAATACGATTCGAAGTTAAAAAAAAAGCGACATAAAGTATTTAGCTGACTTACGAATTTGCGGTTGACAAAATAGATCTTCTGTTTTTATCGAAAAAGTAAATATAGTTTTTGATTTGATTGATCTAATATCATAATTTTATTCATCTTATCATGGTGTACTCAGTTTTATTACTTTGCTCATTTGTTGTGCAAGTACCAAATATCTTTCACAAGTTTCATCAACATTTTAATATGATATTTTTAATTTTAATTATTTTCTTTTACTCTAGCACCAAGCGCCAAGTACACCAGCCCCAAGTAGCACCCAGTCCGGCGATCGTGTCCAGGTTATAGTGCCACCTAACATGTTTGACCCCTTAAATCTTCTGCATCCACATGAAGAAGATGCAGAATATGAGAAGCAACTAAGTTTATCTTCGCCTATGAAGAAAAAGGCTCGCAGTCGAAACAATAGGAAACGAAGGGCGTCGAAGGCTAATACTAGCACTGCTTCGACGCAAGACGGTAATAGTTCGACAACAAGTTTGGATAATACCTCCGATAATAAGGACTTCAATGATATATTTGATGTCAGCGATATAGTGAAGGCGGATGCAGAAATTGACGATGCCGATAAATTATCGGACCAGACTAAATCAATTATGACAACTCCTGTGAGCATTCAAAGTGATAATGAGGTAAATCGGGCGTTTTTTTAAATCTTTTATTTATAAATATTAAGTCATATTTATGTTCTAACTTTTTCAAGACGTTATCATTATGTACTCGTATGTTGGGACGCTAAATTATGTCTAACTCTTACCTTTGCTGTTTTACCTTTTCAAAATAACTACACGTTTAAACACTGATGTGATCTGCAATTATTGTTTCAAATTATAACAATAGATAGTAGATTAATGTTAACCCTCTATAGGCACAATTTATGTTTTACATAAAAAAAATAGGGGAACAAAAAAGCAATTAATATGATATGCATGCATTTGATACAATTAAACATTGATCATTTTTTTAAAGGAAAATATGTACAATTACATATTACGGATTAAATAGATGGTCGATTATTTTATTTTATTGTAAATATATATAATATGCATGTACGCCCAGTGCATCTCTCTACTTAGTTTTAAATAATATTTTGATCATATAATAATCCAAAAAAATTCTTAACAATGCCAATGCAAATCTGCTACAATTATTTTGTTGATACAAATTATATTAAGATTTTTTTTTTGAGCAGCAGGCGGATACTATTACCATTACATCTATAAATTCAAACTCCTCTGTGTCAAATACTAGCACGTCTACTAGAGAATTGAAATTGGACTTGAGTATCGCCAGTACAAAAAGCAATGTATCGAGCAAAGATGGTATTGCTGGACAACGAAAACAAAGGAGATTGGACTCCATGGATAAGATTGTCAGTCCTGTTATACCACAACCTGGAGCCTGGATGAGGCCGCACAGGTAATGAAAAGCATTTTTTAGATTACTTTCTATCTAAACGAGTTTCTTCTGAAATTTGTATAACCTTCCATGTATTTATTTAATTTACCTACTTGATTGTTTTTATTACAGTAGAACAGAATAGAATAATAAATTATATTTTATTTCAATTTTTGTACCTCTGTTTTGAAAAAAGCTTTTAAGATTTGCAAATTTATTACATTAAAATAAAAGAAACAAATTATTAGATTTTCTAAAATTTTATATTTATTGCAGAGTCGATAAAGGTGGGCAAAGAGGATCATGGCGAGGTCGCGGGAGAGGCGGCCGAGCTTCAAATAATTCATCAATAAACACGGGATTAGAATTAATTCCGGAATCTACAGACGTACCTTCAAGTAGTGTTTCTGAAAGTACTTGCAGTGGTGATACTACACCAAGTATTCAGGAAAACTTAACAGGCAGTATCAATGATGAGACAGAAAGCAATAAAACAATCGTCGAGGAAAAAGATATAAAGATGGATGATAGTGAAGAACAGAAAGTTGTCGAGGAAACAAAACCTAAAGTACCAAATATAAGGAAAGACGGAAAAAGATATGAGCATGGGAATTATGATAGGTGAGTTTTTCAAAACTTTTATTTTAATAAATCATGTACTTTTAATAATATTTCAACTGCACAATTTCACATTTTTTGTGTACCATGTACCATTTCACAAATAATAAGTCTACATCAGTGATTCCTGCAGTGGTCCATATGGACCCTCAGGGGGGGATTAATAACTAATGGTATTACAAACTTCCCAGAGGAGAAGTTTGTTTTCGCGAAAATTCCGATTTGCTAACCTCGTTTTCTTAACGTTTTAAGTCGAAACAAGTAGTTTACTTTTACTTACAACTAGTTTATTAATAACTAATGGTATTACTTGATTAACATTCCATTCTTTATGGCAATTTGATTGTAATGATTCCTATCATTACTATTTTTTTCTATTCATTACTATTACCTATCATCTATTAATATTTAATCCTATTTTGTAATGTTTCAGATATTATGGATACAGAAATCTCAATGAATCAATGGATGTACGATTGAAGGTGTTTCAAATGCACAAGCACTTATTCCAAGGTCGCGACATTTTGGACATCGGCTGCAATGTAGGCCATGTGTCTTTATGTGTAGCTCGAGATTTAGGTGCCAGATCAATGACTGGTATAGATATTGATGATAAGTTGATTCGTAAGTATTTTAAATTTTTAGGTGATTAATGCAAACAGATTTTGTGTAAACCTTTAATTAACTATTTTGTTTTTAGAACGTGCTAAAAAGAATCTTCGTCAATACGTAACGATACATAAAAGTGCTCAACTGACAACCGCATCCGCTGTGACGATTCCATCTGATCAAGATAACAAAAATAATGAAGAAGATAAAAATAATGAAACTGACAAAGATGATAAGAATGACCAAGAAGAAACGACTGAATTACAAGCAAGTAATTCTGAGGACGGTGTACCTGCCAAAAATTTTGTAAACTGTGATAAAGACTTTAAAAAATTTGATTTTATTAAGAAAACTGTAAAAATAGCAAAATTAAGTAAGTTTAATAAGTGGAAGAAGAATCGAACGGCGCAATGTGGAAGTGCGAACTATTTCCCAATATCTTTTCCTTTGCTGTACGGACCAGTTGATGTCCTGGATAATACAGAAATTGAAAGTACAACTCAATTTCCTTACAATGTTGTTTTTAAGCATGTAAGTATATACAGTTTTTGTTAATGTTTATTCAAAATTAAATTTTGTCAGATGTTTTCAAGAAATTTCGCTCACTTGAAAATTTACTTATTATAAAAAATTACTATTTTATGCATTCAAACCTCAAATTGTATGCTGAAAGTGAGTCAATAAGAATAGTGAGATATTAAAATATTAAACTAAGCTTATATCAGTTAATAAAATGCTTATTACATATTTGAATTAACAATTTAAAAAAATAAAACATGTACAATTTATATTTTTTTTAAAACGTCGTACTTTGTATACAAGCGCAACAAACACAGGCAGATGGAAGAGTTGCCTTACTTCGAGGTGAATTTTTCATGCAGTGGTAAAACAGCACAAGCAAATACCTGCATATGTTAAATGATCCAGAGGAGTCGGGCACATGAGGATAAGATTATATTCTCAGATCTATATTGTCTGAATATGACTTCTGAAAGAAGTCATATTCTCGGGTATTACTAACTCCAGTGCTAACCAACTCTAAATATATATATTTCTATATACATTTCTATATATAAATAGAAAATTAATGTAATCCAATTCATGTAAAACTGTTTTTTCCTTTGCTAATTGGTATTTCTTTTATTTTTTAGGCGAATTATGTGCTGAAGGACGACAATTTGATAAGTGCGGAACCTGCACAATTTGATTTAATTCTTTGCCTATCAGTATCCAAATGGTTACATTTAAATAATGGTGATGCTGGATTGAAGAGAGCTTTCAAGAGAATGTTTGCTCAGCTCAGGCCCGGTGGTAAGCTGATTCTCGAAGCACAAAACTGGGCGAGCTATAAGAAAAAAAAGAACCTTACTGTGAGAAAATTACCTTTTTTTGTGAAACAAAATGATTTTTTACATTTATTTACAATGAGATAATGAAGATGTCTTTATCCATCTGCACTCTAAATAATTGCACCCACTTATTTTTTTGTCTTATGGCAGGCGACTGATGTAGTATAAATATGTTATTGTGTAACTAATTATTAGTTAGTGTTTAGCCTAACCCTTTGTAGTTATTTTATTATTAATTTCAATGCAATCAACTTAGATATTTGAAGGTTATAATTGTTTGTGATAATTTTAGTTATTTGATTTAGTAATTTTGAATAAGATATGCAGAGAACTATTTGTGATATCAACACGTACCAAATGTGACTGGTTACGTTTTTTTGTTAAACAAGAATGCTTTCTGCATAATATTTTATTTTATTTTAATAATCACTTGACCTTTGTGAATAGAATGACAATTTGAGTGGTGTGATATTCTTAGCTTAAGCTCAGAAGTAGAACCATATCACTCGCAAATTGTTTTAAGGTGGAGAGATTATTTTAAAATAAATATTATGAACATTTTACAAAAAATATTTTTGCTACCTTCATAATAAAATTGTTGATTGCTTTATAATTATCTATCATAATTATGCGTTTATAGAATTATTTAACTATTTAATTTTTTTTTATTTCAGCGAAATATTTACAACAATTATCAGGCTATTGAATTCTTTCCCTGTAAGTTCCGGGATTACCTGCTGTCACCGGAAGTTGGATTCAGTCAGTGTAGTGTATTAGGTGTACCTCAGCATTTGAGTAAAGGTTTTAGGAGACCAATACAGTTGTATGTCAAAGGAGACTTTACCCCAAGCCAAGCCATGTGGAGTGATACTAGGATGCCATCAGCATCACAATATGGTCAGCAAACAAATACGCCATCTGCTAAACGACCAGTTTATACGGTAATATTATTTAATTTTAATTGTGCAGTACATTATTAAGCAAATCTTTTTCAATGAAGTAAAATGAATAGAAAGATCTATAAGATATTTAAATATTTTTACAGGCACCATTACCAGATATAAAGTCAGGAGCAATGTTTTCATATTGGGGATCTACACCGTACAGTTTGGCATCACATCATACAAATAATATATTTGATACATCGCCATTTTATGCACCGGGTAGCGGAAGTTATACACCCAGCTATACTGAAGGTATATTTAAATAAAATTATAATTTTAAGAACCTAAATCTGTTTTTGTATCGAGGGTAATAAAAATTAGCATCATGACACTAATTCAATTTGTAGAAAAATAAATCAAATTCAGGAAATATGTTGACAAAACAATTTTGTTTATATAATTACATAAAAACCATAGTATTTATCAAGTATCTACAAAATTTGGAAAAATAAATAATAAAACTAGTTGTAAGTGCATTTTGCCCTAAGGCAAGTTGTATGAATTTCTGAAATATTTAAATCAATCAATATTCTGATTTACTTAATTGATCAGAAATTAATATATTATTTTATGAGTGGTTTATAAGTATACAGGAGTACTGTAGAGCGTCATAATGTGAGAAACTATTGCAAATTATTTTATTTTACACAATTTTTTTTTATTGCACATTTTTGAAAAACGAACACGTGCTTAATACAAACACCGAGTATTTTTTCAAATCGCGGCCGATTAATTAAAATTCAGATTATTTTTTACAAATGAACCACTTTTTGTAGAACTATAATATTTCAGTATGTTCATTAAGACCAGACACTCTATTGCCATACATAAATTCAAAATCGTCAGAAAACTTTTTTAACCACCAATTACGAAGAAAGTTCAAAAATCGGCTCACACACATACTTCTTAATTTGGTCTAAAATGATTTAGGTTGACTTCAAAACATACTAGCAAATCGCATTTTTTCGCGAAAAATCTAATAATTTTATTTATTGGGTTCATTTATAAAACAATCAAACAATCACATGAAATGAATCTTATTCTATAGGACTGTGTAAGTTTTGATAACATAATTATTTCTGCTCTCAATAGGTTGTCCACACCCTGGTCAACGGAATGTGTACGCTCCGACTTGTGGTTCGAGGTGGAGCAGCCCTGCAACTACGTCGGGAACACCATCACAGAGCCCTGCACAAATCAATGATTTTACACCTAACGCCACACCAAACGCAACGCCACGAGGGCATACACCAGGTCATGCAGGGTGGCATGACGCTCACCAGAGTAGAAATGTCACTAGGGTGTACGCAGCTGTATCTCCTGCACAAGGTAATATTAGGCATTAAATCAGTTAGAGAACATGAGCGTGACTGATCTCTTGTCAAGATTTTTACAAAATCGGGTTCATCAATTTTAAAAATTTAAAAGCCATTCTTTGAAACATAAGGACTCTCATTGACTAGTTTGTGTTGATGATAAGCCAAGCTGTTTTGTTATAATTAGCAGAAAACTTAAATATTTTTACTCAAAGTAGTTAGTCCAGTCATTTGGTGCAATAAAAGGCTGTTGCCGGTACAGTACTCCGGTAATTCTGAAAATTGGTAATCCTATAGATTTCGAGGTGCTCTTTGCAAAAATCAACTTTGCCACCTCAAATTTGAACGGCAAGTTGACGCCATATTAGAAAAATCGCGTCAAAAACAGCTTTTTTAAAATATCTCCTTTCTGGCTCATTCTACTATAAAAGTATCTATGTATGAATTAAACTAGATAAAATTTCCTACAATTCTTTACAAAACCGTTTTTTTGTAAAACTGATAGTTTGAGAGTACGGCCGCCTCAAAGTCTTTGTTGCTCTCGCCGTAGTATCAAATCTCTCCATATATGACAGCACTTTGAACTTGACCACATTCTCTCTAATAAATAAATATTTTTAATTTTAAATTAAGCAAATAAGATCTAGAAATAAAATAATGCAATAATTTTTCTGTTTTTTTGCTGATTTTTTAACACTGCAATGGCAAAGTAGCTATAAGTAAGTAGCTTGAAGTGTTAAAAAATCAGCAAAAAAACAAACTAATATTTGAATTAATTTATTTCTAGATCTTATTTACTTAATTTAACATTGAAAATATTTATTTATTAGAGAGAATGTGGTCAAGTTCAAAGTGCTGTCATATATGGAGAGATTTGATACTACGGCGAGAGCAGCAAAGACTTTGAGGCGGCCGTACTCTCAAACTATCAGTTTTACAAAAAAACGGTTTTATAAAGAATTGTAGGAAATTTTATCTAATTTAATTCATACATAAATACTTTCATGGTAGAATGAGCCAGAAAGGAGATATTTTAAAGGTTTTTTGACGCCATTTTTCTAATAAGGCGGCAACTTGCCGTTCAAATTTGAGGTGGCAAAGTTGATTTTTGTAAAGAGCACCTCGAAATCTATAAGATTACCAATTTTCATAATTCTCGGAGTACTGTACCGACAAAACGACCAAATGACTGGACTAAGTTGTCAAAAGCTTTTTTAAAAATTCAAAAACCTTTCGAAAGATATTGGCATTGTGCTATTAGTTTTTGGTGAAGATTGGCCTGATCGTTTCTTTGTTAATAAATGTTTTTTTTTCTTTGCATAGAGTTTTATGGTCTTATTGAATATGCTGAAATTGCATATGAATTAATTAAAGTTTAAATAAATGGGCCCTTACGACGTACACGTGTGTGTGCTTATGAAGTCGTACTCGTAGCAATTACACTTGTTAGAAGGAGAAGTTTATTTTTGCTAGAAAATCTGACTTGCTATTTTTATGTATTCTATACGTTTCAAGCCATTCTTAATCGTTTGAGAATAAATTTGAAAAAGGTATGTTAGTATGTGTGGGTATGTGAGACGATTTTTTATCTTTTAGTAGGCTCTCTCGAAAACGATTACCGATTTCAAAAATTTTAATCCATTCCAGGTAACTCGATAAGCACTCGCGTTGGTTAGTTTTGCAATCGGCCTAGCCTTTTTTTTAGAATTACGGGAAGGTTTTTTGTTAACTTTTTCGTAAACAATTCTGAACCGATTTTGAAAATACAAAACCTATTAGAAAGATCATTTTAATTAAATTTATATTTTTACACTTACACCTATTTTATTAATAAAGTGCTATATATGCTATTAATTTTATTAATACAATTTTACATATTATAAGTTTGTTTAAAATATATTGATTGAAAATTGCATTTATTAATCTTTAATTATATATATTAAACACTTTATTTACGTGATAAACATTCAAAAATTTTGATTGCAACACCTAATTGAATTGATTTCATTTGATTAACAAGAAATTGAATTAATAATTATGTTGATTATTTTTACTTATCTCTGCTTCTAGTTTTTCATGAATATTAATCGTTTTTTATTTTCAGGCACATCGTATCAACAGTCGTTGAGTTCGCCACGATACTCCCCCCAATGGAACGAAACGAATAGTGACTATTACGCTGGTGCGGAGTCGCCCAGCGCGAATGCATACAGCCCCCAAGAAGATACATCTCGATCCAGTAACGATCACCTGATTACAAATGAAAGCAGTTCAGCGAGTGTTGAAAACTCTCCCAGTGTTCATAGTAATAGTTTTAGATCGGCCGACTCCCCTTCAAATCAAGATGACCAGGCCGTTCTTAATGGTCATGCAAGTGTTATGAGCCCTAACCCAGCAGAATGTGATTCTATAAATGCTAGTCCAGTTTCTAATTCCTAAATTATTGGGAGAACGAATGTGATGACATTCCTTCAAAACTGAGACTCTTAAACTCTGCTTACTAAACGGAGTTGTTAAATTAATTATGATTAATTGACAAAAGACAGTTGCAGTACAATTCGTTTATAATAAATTGATTTTAGAGCTATGGGCCTTAAGTATGACTGAGTTTGTTCGAGACACAATACTATGATGTAACGATTAGAACTAGAACTTGGTTATGTGTGAGGCATTCGTTCTATATATAAATATATCTTGTTGTTTGTTTCGGATTCAGAACTTTAAATAATGGACATGTGTACATTTATTTATTTTAGCTATTACGTGATTGTGTGTACATTATGTATATATATGACAAAATATGTATATATATATTTAGAATGTGTATATATATATATATATATATATATATATACATGTATGCGGATAAATGTATAGATACATATATATTCCAAATTGTTGAAATTGAGTACCGTTTAAGAAATATATTTATATATATACATATATAAAATGTTCAAAACATGTAAAATCTTATAATTGTAAAAAGTTGTGAATAAAATCCTCTGAATATATTATATAATATTTATTAATTTTATAAATGTTTCAACATTTTTCATATATATATAACATTGTATATGTGTACAGGCACTTTATATACTATTGCATTAAAAATATGAAAATTTAAATTCTATCGTCTAGTTTGTTTGAATATTTTAATATCACGACAATAGTCATTTCAATAATAATCATTGCGGTCACATTAATATATTTAGGTAAATTATGAACCTCGTTTAAAGATATCACCATTGATAGATTTGCTCTGTTATGAAAAATACAATGTTCTCAATTATTTTATAAGTTCGCATAATTTATTTTTCTAGTTAACAAATTTAAGCATTTGTGCTAATTAAAATTTTGTGTTGTGCAACTACTTATAACTAATTGTTTCATATTTAAGTTATACCAATTGGTCATCGTATAGATGCTTCGTCATTCAGCAAAATAACTTTTTGCATAGTTCAATATATAATATTGAATGTGATTTGTTTGTTTGCAGTTTTCTATGATATGCAAAAATAATTCTAAAATTATTTATATATTTATATACCTACGTTCTATGGCAGTTTTTGTGTAATTCACTATATTAGTAGCGTATGTTGTACGAACTCTAATGTAATCTTCCTTATATGTATATCATTAGATAGAATATTGCTAAAAGCCATATATGACGCGACGTACAAGCATGAAGTGTGAAAATATCTTATATTTAGATTACTATTTAGGAAATTTTCAATTATTATTTCAAATTTATAAAATAGGTATAAAATAAATAACAATTGCTGTAATATCGTTTTGATATTGTACCATTTGCTGTTCAGATATAACAAAATTTACGTGAAAGTGTATTTGGACGATATACAACATTATTTCATTTTGATTATAATGAAGAATTATAATTTAGATTTGTACTAACAGTTGTAAAATAGGTGACTAAAAATGTAAATATATTGCATATGATTTTTAAAAACCGAAACTCAACGTCTAGCCAACAAGAGCTGATGGTATTGACCATAACTGTCATAAAAAAATTTAGAAAATAAAGTTATCTCACGTTGTTTCGAAATTATGAGCTTTTAAGTGCAACCTAGAGTTTTAGTAAAATTATGACCATGTTTCGGTTATTGTGAGATATTTTTTTTTCAAAATTTTTTTGGGACTAGTTACTAGCTATTTTGGCTTGATGTTGAGTTCTGAGGCACCCTGCATATATATATATATATATATATATATATATATATATATATTCTGCAAATCATTCTAATTGCCGCGTGAATTTATAGTAATTTTTCCAATGTGTAAGAAAACTTTTTTAAACTTATTTTTGTAAATAATTTCACATTTTAAATAACTTATCCGAATTGTTCAAATAGTATTCATTAATTACCAAAAATGTTTATATTTTCAAAAATTTTAATAGCAAAGACTATTTTCTTATAATTAGTACCTACATAATATTTCCTTCGTTTAAAAATTCCGTATCGTTTCCACTACTAATTTAAATAAATTTAGATAAAAAGCTTTCAAGAATTGGTTGCAAAATGGATATTTTGCTTGGTAAATTAAAATTTGCATTTTTTTAAAATAAGAAATATTTTGAAGTAGGAATGAAATGATTTATGTTACCGAATATTATGGTATACCGAATATTATGGTATATTAGCAACTTTTTAAAAAGTTGTAAAAATCGAATTTTACCGTGTTGATTCTAATTAAATTTCCCGCCTTCTGTTTGCGAAATTTATGCATGGTCAAAAGATTTACGCAATTGCCAATGCCATATGGCAAACCTTACTTGTTCTTGCACATTGGTATAGAATTGGTGTTGTATTAGAGAACAATTTACATTAGAAAATATAAATAAAGTATACAATGTTTAAAAATAAGTAAAACATGAAGGTACTCATACTAGTACGATTAAAGGTAACTTTGACAAAAACGTTGAACAACGAAAAACGAAACTTTGCGATTGTATAATTCGATTATATAGAAATATTTTTTTAATCTACTGCAAGTTTTAACAGATAACACATTATAGTCTATAAGTCGATATTGATGGTAAAAAAATAAACAAAGACTTCAAATAAAAAAATAAATAAAAAAAATAAAATAAAAATTCTTATTAACTTCCTGAAGTAGAAGTTTATGTTTTCATACTAAACCATTAAAGTCCTACGGAAACTGGTTAAATTATAAAAATTGTTGATTTTTGAAAATTTGCTTTTAGAAAATACGGTTCGTTCGTTTTCAATAATGTGTAATAAATCCACTCGGAATACTTTTAATCACTCATAAATTAATATTTTTTTATTGATTAAGTCGATTATTTAAAAATATCGGAAAGTTCATGTAACTAGCCTCAAGGCAAAATACCAGTACCAACTAGTTTTTTTAATTTTAACTCAAAATATCACAAATAAAATGTTATATTTATTAAAAACATCAAGTTCGACAACTTTTACGAAAATTTCAGTAAATATGCATTATGAACTCCACTATATTTAGGATATTAGTTATATATTTTATTATTCTGTCGGATGATGTCGGACACGTCGGATCATTTCGGAAATATTGTAATAGAAAGACAAATCGGAATAAAGTTTAGTGATCGATTATATTCTGCTCGGAAGTGACATGTTCTTGTAAAATTGTGATTCGCGATTTCGCAATTAATAAATAATCAAGTTAATCAAGTATTCCGCAATTAATAAATAATTAAATTCATTACTTATTGAATTAAATATTAAATTAATTACCTAATAAATTGATGTAGTGTTTAATACATATTAGAAATAATATTTTTATTACCCATGTGGTTTTGCACAGACATTAAATTTTGTGAATAAAATGGTGACAGCGTGCATCAACTCGAGACGAGAAATTCGCATGTAAAAAATTTTAAAATAATAAATATCCGTTAAATAATAATGAATATATGTAATTTTAAAAACGTTAATAAATTTTTTAAAATGTAATTAGTTTAAATATATCGTATATTAACACGTTAATCGCTACGATGTTATCAGATTTTTTTTTACATGGGCCATGGTAAAACTTTATTATAAATAATAAATAATTTAGTTAATTACTTAATGCTTACGAACGAACTCGGTTTGTTCATAGGAATTTTTAAATTTATCGCAAATTGTTGGACTATGGGATCACGAAAAGAAATTTATAAAATTTTATGTTATATTTTACTATAATAAATAATTATATTTTAATGTAAGAATTTTCGGTAACTTCAATACTTTTTTTTAAATTGTTTATCCCATAGTAATAACATTTTAAACACATTGCAATATTAAAAAAATGATGATTTTTTGCCAGTAAATTTAAAAAAAAGCGAGCATTAAGTATTTAAACCAGTGGTTCCCAACCTTTTAGTACCGCGTCCCCCTGCTCTCATAAAAAAATTGTTGCGCTCACTTTAATTTTTTTAATTTAATTTAATTTTGTAAATACTTAACTAATATTATCAAACTACAAATTAATATGCAATATTATGTAAAAATATGCGTAAAAACTAATTATTAACTTCCCGTAGGGCAAGTTATAATTAGTAATCGCAAAAAAATCAACAATGAAAATTTATAGATATCTTTACGTTTCAAAACCTTCTGAACATTTTGGCATACCTTAGAAAAAATGGACGTATGTATGTGTGTTGTGTATGTGTGTGTGTGCTTGTATGTGTGTGTGTGCGAATACAAATTTTTGTCGACGATTTCGGGAACACGGTTCAACCGATTTGAATTATTCAAAAAACATTTGATTGCTGTTGATAAGGAGACGTGCTGATTATTCTTTGGCATAGACAGGTCTAGCCGTTTCGAAGATACTGGACAAAAAGTGCCATAAACGGTAACTCAGTTTTTAAGAGAACGGAGTGTCCGATTTTAATAATTCAAAAAGCATTTGACTTGTACGGACAAGATGAACAACTGATTTTCATGAAGGCAGGTTTAGCGGTTTCGGAGACCTAGCGAAAAAAGTAAAAAAAAAATGCCATTTGGCGGTCAGAAATGACCATTGGACATATGCACATCAAATTATCAGATATTTTATGGAGATTTTAACAATAAGTATAAATTTTGTTTACATTCCTATGGGTTCCGTACCAGTGTTTATGTGTTAGACGGCGACGCAGCGCTTACGCGCTTCAATATTTCGTTTCTATGCAGTTAAACCAGTACGATTGCTTTGAAAAAAGTTCAGAATTTCCAAAACATTTCAAAATAAATTTTTCTTCAAAAAGTCTTTTTAAAAAAAAGTAAATTTTTGTCAAAAATTTATAGTTTTTCAAAAATCTAATTTTTTCAGAGTAATTCTTTTTCAAAAGTTAATCTTTAAAGAAAAAAATCATTTTTGGTACGTGAAGTTCCAGCAATTTGCATTAAGACACGATGCCACGCGCCCCACTAGTTTTTTGTTTATTGTTTAACATTGTTCCAAAAATGTTGGGTTATTGGGCGCGCCCCACAGGTTGGAAACCGCTGGGTTAAACCAAGAAATCTTTATGTATCAAAAACTATTGATGCCACACATATATGACTGACATGATTCTATATTAAAACTTTTTTCCCCCTTTTATCAAATACGTATGTCAGACATATATACCTGACATGGCTCACGTAGAACTTCTAAGCGTCAGACTCATATGACTGATATGGCGATTAACGTGTTAATATTGTTTTATCGGAGTATGAGCCGAAATATTAAATATGTGACATATAATATTCATGATTATCATTAAAAATAAGATTTAAAACTTGGCAAGAAAATGAGACTTTTCCAACATCGTGATGATATGATTTTTATCAATATCTAGTTGTGAAATATTGAATTTGAAGAGAACTTTATAGGTCATTTAATGCGATTGATTTATTCGCAATAAAGCAATCATTAAATAAATAAACTACTAATTATGATACGTTTAATTTGTGAAATATAAGGTCTGATTGAAAATGTTTTTATGATAAAAATCAGTTGACCATCAATAAGGTTTACGTAACGTGTTCTCGGCATCACAACAATGTGATGCATTTTTGATCGCAAAGTTTTCTAGTTATTTTGCATTTTATAACAATTTTTAATACGTATTAGATAAAAAATTCGTGATAATTATGCAATATATTATAAATGTAATTTTGGTAACAAGTTTGTGTAAAAATTAGTTTCATGTTGAAATATATTCAATTTAACCCTTTATGGGCCCAAATAGCTTTCAGGTCACATAACAAATTTTTTTATACTATACCAAATAAATATGATTTTTTTTCATTATATGACGCATAAATCTTAATTCTGTGAAATTGTCAAGATAACCAATATCAATATTTTAATTTTTGTTAAACTTTTCAACCAGAAATAACACTTTCATACACCGAAGTGCAAACATTATAGGTCGATGTGACTTGAAACTCGCATAATTTTATTACCATAAAAATTGTTTGAACGGTTTTTTTTCATATATAGTCTTATAATTACTGTTCTTTGCTTCCTTATTTTTTGGATGTGAAACAAAAGTTTGGCCCACAAAAGGTTAAATTAACCCTTTACACTCGCTAATTCCGGAATTAGTATGTATTTTGTCGCCCGAGCGGCGGCATCCGAGTGGAAAGGGTTAAAACTGCAATTAAGCATAAAAACCTAAAGGATTAAATTTATTGTTCAGAACGAATATCGGTCCATCTATTTATCTAGCAAATCTATCGAATATTTATAACTTTTACTAGCAAATTTGTTGTAGATTTTAGTATTAAGTGTCCACAATTAGTTGATTATATATTTGACTAAAACGTTGTGAAACTACTATACCAATTTTAAATAATCTCAATCACAATTTAATTCCCATATTTTTCATACAATTGGTCGAATATATAGTCAATGTTTTGTTGCACTAACGGTTCATAGCAATGGTAGTCAATCTATTTTTTCGCGTTATAAAATAAATATAAAATTGATGATAAATTAAATTTTTTAAAACGGTGATGTTTTCAAAATATATGAACCAGTTTTATAAATTACTGGAGGCACTTTATTTTTGATAACTTGAAACCTGCAAGAATAGTAAGATTTTTCATATCTACAGTAGTATAGGTATTTAAGTAAATTCATCCATGATATTCAACTTTAAATATTGGTTTTGCAATGAAATTGGAAAAAAGGATAGATACTTGCTATTACTTGATAGAAAATAAAGCTCCACAAATGTATTTAATCGTTTCTTAACCCTTTCGCTACGAGCCTCGCTTATCCACATGACTACCCTTGTGTACGGATGTCGTCTATAGACGACATAAAGTGGTATCAATTATTGCTTCAACTTTTATTCCTCAGAGTGAAATTATTGAAAATTTTAATACGTCATTGTAATTTTTAATTTCCCGTAGGGTTGGCAAGTAGTAGTAGTTATTGTAATCGCAAAAAAATCGAAAACGAAAATTTTTATTTATCTTTACGTTTCAAAGGTTTTTGAATATTTTGGCATACCTTAGAAAAAAATGATGTATGTGTGTGTGTGTGCGGATACAAATTTTCGTCGACGATTTCGGGAAAGAGGTTCAACCGATTTCAATTATTCAAAAAACATTCGATTCCTATTAATAAGGAGACGTGTTGATTAATTTTTGGCAAAGGCAGATGTAGCAGTTTTGGAGATGCCGGGTAAAAAGTGTCAAAAATGGTGTTAAAAATTTCTCAAAAATCTAATTTTTTCGAAGATTTGCAATGTCTTCTTTAATAATTTAGTTTTTTGTACGGGAAGTTCCAGCAATTTTCTTAAGGCACGATGCCATGGACTACTAGTTAGTTCTTTTAAATTGTATTTTTTAATTTTTAAGTTCATTTTTATTGATAATGATTGAAAAATTTTAAAATATGTATCTTGGTATTTACATAAGTACATTAGCACTAATGGGCGGCTTGCTGTTACGTAAAGCAGTGTCACTCCTGCAAAAAACACTCCCGCAGCGAAAGGGTTAAATATTGGTTATGTGACAAATTTGAAAAAAAAAGATATTTACTAGTACTTATTGTTAGTAAAAATAAAACTTCACGATAAAATTCTCTTTAACAACTTCGTTACAAGCGTCGCCTATAGACGACATCCACTTGACGACCTGTGTGTACAAACACACAGTGTGTCGAACTTTTTCTTCAATATTTATCAGTTTGAGTTAAATGATTAAAAATTCTAATTTGTTATTGTTGTAGTAATTTTTAACATAATGTCAAGAAACAAAATACTGAATGGATTTCAGGCTCGTACAGCAGTGTCTCTCCTGCAGAAAACGCTCTCGTAGCGAAAGGGTTAAAGAATCATATAGAAGTTAATGTACGGTTCAAAAATTTATAAATATATATTATCCTTCTAAAATTTTGTTTAAATACGTTTCGACATACCATTTCAAAACACCACACAGCATTAAATACACATCGATATTTTAATAATGCATAAAAAAATGTGCGCCAATGTAGGTACTTCTTTTACCCTAGTATTTTTTTCCTCTTATCGATTGAGTACCACCGCTTTGAGAAACGCGCGGAGAACTTTAATTATTATCAATTAATAAACCAACATCTTATATTAGCTATTATTATCAAAGTGTGAGTTCTAATAGAGTGAATGACTCGTTTTCTTGAAAATAGGAAAGGGGCGAGGACCTCTGCCAGTAGTGAGCGAGCCCCGGGGGTCCCTGCTATTCCTCGACCAGCTCCCAGAGCATCAGGGAGGCGTCGGTGCCCCCGACCGTGACGACGTTCCTGTCGTTGTAGAGGAAACGGGCGCAGGCCACCTGCCCGCTGTACACCTTCTCTTCGGAGTATTCGGCTTTAGGATTCGTGCACGGGTATCTGGGGAAAAGGTAAGTCGATATTGATTAATTAATATTGGTATCATGTGGCCACTATTTTTGATATTATACTCGTACATTGAATTTAAAATGATTTATGCGAAGATGTTTGCCAATTTGCAAACGAGACGTCCCTTTGCCTAATACGTTACGCATTTTTGCTTAATTAGAGCAAAGTTTAGTAAAGAAAATTACTAATCACTAATCGATTAATTATTCAACAACAAATAATATGCTAATTTGCATATTATAGATTCTTTGTACACGAAATTATTGGTGTAGTTCTCTTCTACATTTTTAAGGCGATATTCTGATCTAGAATTCTTATATATATGTACAATGTGCATGGCGGTTGAATAATACCGCTATTTTTAGCCAACTTTGTAAAATGAACAAGATTTATTTAGGGTATATAATTCTAGTTATTGACAATTCACTCAGAATAAAATTTAGATCAAATGACCCCCTCCATTAGACACGCAAAAGATGGCACTTTTTGAACAGCAATCAGAACCTAATAATCCTATAAGCTGTTGTGCTGATTTTGACTTAATACTAGTCTGTTTGACATATGGCAAGCCAAACAGTTGTCACATCTCTGTATGATAAATTATTATTACAATTTCATTATTACAATTAGGGCGAGTATGGTGCAGCAATCCTGGGTGAGGGCTATTTTCACTTGGAAACATATATATATTGCCATCTATATTTCCAAGTGAAAATCGTTGTCAATGTTGCATGACAACAGGCTGCTCGAAGTGGGCATCGAACCCGGGACCTCTGAAACAAGTCCCGTCGCTCTTAACCGCTTACCTATGGGTGAGCCCAAATACGATCTAACAGTTTTATTTTCACCAAGACGGCGCACCTTGTCGCCATCTTGCTGAGCAAGTTCCCGGTCATTTGATAGATACTGTACATACTACTTTTTTACTGAAAAGTCTAATAGAGCTGTTGTTTTTGGTTTGTGCTTTGCAGAATGCGGAGAGCAGAGCATTTTTATTATATTTTTTCTTCAGTTTGGTTGTATCGCGCCTATTTCCAATTTTTGGTTGCACTTAGAATGTCTAAATCGAATGCCAATCCAGTGAATGGACTGGAATTTTCGGGTATGATGGTGGTTAGGAGAGGAAGTTGGAGGTTATAAAAATGTGACAGCTTTTTTTAACAATAAGATTTTTTTTTATTTACTTATTCTTTTTGTTGCTGTCTATAAGTCAACATTTTTATAAATCAATAAGATTTTTTTCGAGATTTATTTTTAACCAAAAAAATAATAAGTGTATTGTATATATACCTGAACAATCTTAAATATCCATCAGCATCTCCACTAATTAGAAGATCCTGAGCAGATGATCTGCTAGAAGTCATAATCAATGATGTCATTGGGTAGAATCGATTGTTCCACATTCCTAAAAGATAAGAATATGTACACTTTATCAATGATCAATATTAAATTGATATTATGGTTACGGAGCATATATGAAAATATCAATTGAATGTCAATTTTAAATCTGATTTAGCTTACCAGCTACTAAAAATCCTACAGTGCAATTGTGAGTCAACCATTTCACATCTTTCATTGCAATTGGACTTTTTTCCGGGGAGAGCGATTTGACATCCCCTGAAACATTTAAAAAAAATAATAATATATTTATTTAAATATGATTGGAATTTTTAAATATGATTGGAAATTAACATTAGCATATTTGAGTACTTACAAAATGCTAAATCGTAATCGGCCGTGCACGTTTGCAAAAATAATCCATCATTGCTCCAATCTAATTGTATTAATGGTTGGGTTCCTCTGATTTTGTTTAATTTTTTATAACTGAATCCATCTCGGGAAACTCGGAATAAATATACGGAACCGTTTTGAGATACAATGGCCACCATGTCTCCAGCTGGGAAATAAATACATACAAATTAATTAATTATATTAGTTACTGTTTCAATACTATTTATGAATAAGATATATTAATTCTCCATATTTTGTTCAGTCCATATTCTATATATATATATATATATATATATATAATTACTAGGATTTGTCGGTTTTCCAAAACCAATTTTCCGTTTTTAGCGGAAAATTTGGTTTTTACTGTATAAATGGAAAATGACAAATATACTAGATGAAAGCAAACATTTATATAAAATTCGTAAACCTGCTAAAACCGGTTTTTTGAGAAATTTACAATTCTAAAACCGGTTTTCTGAAATGTCGGTTTTTATATGAACCCTAGCAATTACGTAAATTAAGAAAAGCATTTTGAGCTCTTTAAAAATATATAATATTTTACATTTTTATTTGCGCAAATTTTAACACCTAAATGATTTACACAATATGATGAGTGATGAAATGAATTATTTTTAGTAGATCAAATAAACTTTCACCAATATCTGGAATATATTGATCTCACCGTATATTGTATTGATCATATTATAATGGATATTAAGATATTATAATGATCGTTAGTAATTTTAAAAAACATCGTTAATTTTTATTTGAAATTAATATATCATTGTGTAATTGTTAAAAGTAATATATATTTTTTGAACTTTGCTAAATAACTTAGATATAATTTTAAAATAACAAATACTATTTAAAGATGCAATAATTTTTTTCAAATCATTTTTTTAAACAGAATTACTGACTTTTAGCAAAAACCTAATTATTTGATTATATGTTACATTATATTTTTATATTTCAATTCAAAGTGTCTATTCTTCTAATCTTCATAATTATTTTGAAGAAATTAGCACTCATACCAGGCAGCCAAAAAGTTCGGTTCTATAATTTTTAATTTTCACAAAATTGAAAATAAAAGTTTGAAATTATTAATATGAGGTTATTAATATAATATTTTAACTCGACTTAGAACTTTGTATTTGGTGATGTACCTCCATAACTTCCATTAGTTATGAATATACCACCCATAACTAATTTGATCGATAGTTGATATTTTTTTACAAGTAATTTTAACGATCCATTTTAATCCTTTTTGTAAACCCGAAACATTCCAGAACAAGCATTGCATTTAAAAAAACCCGAGACACAAGATGGAAATCCAGTACTTATGGTCACCCTATTTTCAATCAAAACCTTACATTCGCAGTGCATCCCTTAATTAGATTTATATTATTTCTTATACCTTGATTGTATCCTAATGCATTCAGGGGCGAACCGCAAACTCTGACACTGGCCACGGTGGCCCCCGCCGCTTCCGTGTTCAGGACGATCAGGTGTCCCTCGGTCGACCCTGCCGCCAATGCGCTTCCTGCAGGGTGGAAGGCAAGTGACACGCATTCGTGCGCTGTCTGGACAGTCCATATCGGCCTAATAAAAATTAGAGTAGATAATTTATTTATTTTAATAATCCAAGGAAGAAGCAAATTAGTTAGAACGGGTGCAATTATATATTTTAAATTATTTCAAAGTTTTTGCATTAACTTTGATAAAGAATATACTGGTTACAGTGTCATTTTTTTTTATATACAAAATGGTTAAACAAATTTTGGTAAAGAAATGTAATGTTAGTCAAATCAACATAAACATTCTGCAGAAGTCATAAAATAAAATTGTTAAAAAAATACTAGAGGCGCCCAAGTATGTCCCAAATTGGCTGATCCACAAGGACTTTAATATCTTCATGGTAACAGAAGAAATCAGGAGAGATGCATCTAAAGAGGCGTTGATTAATCACGTGAGCGTTTTTTAAGAATTTTTGGACTTCCCTCTCGCTTGGTGATACATGATGATATTTAAAATTAACCCCCCCCTCCTTTACAAAGCATCACGAGTATTTTGAGTGCCTAGAAAAAAACGTAATTTTTTTTTTTTTTTTTGAAAAATTTTAGATTTTTTTTAATTGAGGTAAAAAATAAATACACTTGATTTTTTGGTAGACCCTCTTCTCCCTCACGTGATTAATGTACGCTCCCTAAGTACAAAACTACACTAGAATATCATCCGAACCAACTTGCAAAAGTCTCGCTTTCCTCAAATTTCACCAGCATGCTCAAAAGAACAACCCCTTTAGATTTAGCAAATTAACATGTAATGTAGACTCATTATTACTTTTCTGTATTTTCATCTCGTCTATTTTCAAACTAAAAATGACTGCTACTGGATAGCATTTTATATCTACACATTTGTCACCAAAATTACTGAATGTCTTACCAGGCAGATACTAATTTATATATGGAAATATAAAAAAAATGAAATGGAATTATTGCTTAATGCCTGATCCTGTTTTCGATCAATTCTCACCTGTGTTGCCTCCAAAGAGCGACGTGCCTGTCGTGTCCTGCCGTCGCAAATAGTTCGTCGTCAGGGTGAACGGCCAAACCCCATAATTGTCTTCCGTGACCAAACACGACCTAATAATTATTATGAAATTACATCTAATCACAGAATTGCATTTTATTCAGCAACATAAAAGCAACATTAATCTCCTTTGTGGAGATCCTTTCATAATATTATTCATAAATGTCGCATAAAAGATCACGGCAAAATAATAGTATTGGTATAAACTAAATAGGTGCTCGATGCTCGTTTCGTCGAAAATCGAAATTATTATTGTTAATTCCATTCAGAATTCGTATAAAAATAAGTAAATAAATAATAATTTTCATTGATGATTATCATAAAGTTGTTGTATGAAAAGAATTCGTAATAAGAATAGAGTAAAAAAATCACAAGTTGTTGTATGAAAAGAATTCGTAATATGAATCTTAAAGCGTCTTGATAATTTATGAGATGTTTTTTTTTGTCAATGTTTCTGATCAATACATTTTCTATAATATACTAATTACTCAATTTAAAGGACCAATTCTGTCGTAGACCAATATTATGGCAAGGCTATGTTACGCTGCGTGTATATAAAATGGTACTAAAGACTGTCTTACTAAAATCTCTTACCTGATTGAATCTCCTTTGTAGTGATCCTTCCATAATATTATTTCTAGTTGTGCCAACATAAATATTTCCGTCGTTTCTTCCTGGCCTTTGTGGATAAATACTACGAACACCGCCTGCACTTTCTGGAAGCTAAAAGAAGATTTCTTATTATTCTGACATTTACGTATGTTTAGACAAATATATTTAAGAAATATTTAAATATTTGATTAAAATAAGACAAGTTCTGAAAATTAGTATTTGGCAAGTTTATAATTTACCTTGGTATCAGTAATTCTTTTATAATTTTGTAATGTATCCCAGGCAGCAATTTTTCTATCTTTTTCGCCTCCTGATAACAATGTTCCTTCCGATAACATCACCAGACTACTGATTCCTTTGTTATGTGCCTAAAAGAATAAATCAAAGTATTTAAATATTTAATATTCCGTTGGGTAAGTTATAGTAATCGCAAAAAAATGAAAAATTTATATATCTTTACGTTTTAAAACTTTTTGTACAATTTGGCATACATTAAAGAGAATGGGTGTCTTTGTGTGTGTGTGCTTTTTTATGTATGTGCAGATACAATTTTCCGTCGACAATTTGAGAACACGAATCCACCGATTTGAACAATTCAAAAAGCATTCGATTCATATTGATAAGGTATTGATTAGTTTTTGACAAAGCCAGGTTTAGTCGTTTAAAAGGTACGGGACAAAAAGTTCCAAAAATGCCTTTTCAGTTTTTGAGAGAACGGAACGGCGGATTTGAATGGTTAAAAAAAACATTTTACTTGTATTGATATGAAGGACTGATCAAATGTTAGGCAATGTTAGATGTGCAATTTTTCGACCCATCAGCCCCCTTATTAATCCTTTCTTTCCTTGGTCTCCTTTAATGAGAATACCGTTGGCATGTGATATGACGCGTGACTTTCGATTTGCATATCGTGCCTTTCGATCGTTATAAAAGGAAAGGAAAGGAAGGAACTAGTGCACGAGGATAGATTTTAGTAATCGTACACCTTCAGATTTCATTTATCATTAGAAATCATTATAATTGGTATTCGATCTAGAAATCAATCGGGCATATGCAGTTTTGCATGCGAGGTCTAGATTAATTTTACTACGTTCTCTACTGCCCAATATGAGATATGAGAGTGATATTTTCACTGAAAAGAATTGGGGCATTCGTAAAGAAGAAAAAATCTAGACTACTTGCTACAGGATTTCGTGTTCAAATCCCGCGTTACGTACTACTTAATATAGATCAGTAATGATATTCATTTTAACATGAAAATATAGATCCAAATACATTTTGCAATAAAATAGCCTTTCGGGATAAAGTAGTAGAAAAAAATAATAAAAGAAATAATAATAAAGAACATCAAGAATCGTTCCGATAGCTATTCAAATAATAAAATTATAATAGAAGATTGAAAAAAACATGTGTATCATTGTGACGTTAGCAATCACCTAAGTAGTTTCTTCTTAAGTCTTCTGGTCTAGAGGCATGAATTTTATGCGCTTTTTAAAAGGCCGTAAAAAGGCAAACAGTATTATTACCACTATTTCTTATAAGCTATTAATTTATGTTTTGAAAATATAAAAAGATATGAAAATGTAAAATTTATACATAGAGTTTTAATTTTGGAAGGCTATGAAGTTAGAAGTTTCAAAGAATTGGAAACTGATCATACTCATAATTTTGGAAACTGATCATACTCATAATTTCAGCCTTTCAAATAATATAAAGAATTTTTTTATATATATTATTAATTTAAAATAATGTCCCTGTCGTATGGGCTGCGGTCAAGCAGAAAAAAATCACGAAAAAAATCGAAAATGAAAATTTTTATATATCTTTACGTTTCAGAGGTTTCTGAGCATTTTGACATACCTTAGAAAAAATGGATGTATGTGAATGTGTGCGTGTGTGTGTGTACAAATAAAAATTTTTCGTCGACGATTTCGGGAACACGGTTTAACCGATTTGAATTATTCGAAAAACATTCGATTCCTATTGAAAGGGAGACGTGCTGATTAGATTTTCGACAAGGCGGGTCTAGCCGCAATTGCTTTAAAATAAGTTCAGAATATTTCAAAATATAATTTTTTTTTTCAAAAAATTCATTTTTACAAAAAAGTCGATATTTATTTAAAAATTTCAAAATTCTCAAAAACCAAATTTTTCAAAGATTAAAAATATTTTTTTTAAAAAAAAATTTTTTGGTACTGGAAGTTCCAGCAATTTGCCTTAAGGCACGACTCCATACACCACTAGTTTTTATAAATAGTAAACATTGTAATTCGAGAATGAGCGTAATTCCTAATGAAGTAAAGAAAATTTTGTAAAAATTTCAAGTAAATCGGTACGGTAAAAGTTGAGAAATCGTGGGTATCGTATTGAAAAAGACAGTTTCGAAAAAAGCATTTAAAGTTTCACAGAGGAAAAAAAACATAGGACAAGGATAATAATTGTGGTCAAACTGCCATATCTCCAAAAATAATTTAAATTTTGGAAAATCTTCTTGTACACATGTTCTTGAATAGTTAAACTTTGAAAATATGAAAAAACAATAGATTTTTTAAAAATTATATACCAGAATACCTGCTTAAGATTTTTTTTGTTATAAACTTTGATTTATATTTTATCGATTTAACATTTTGTATTAGAATTTAAATACTTCAAGTTTAAAATTTATTAATAGGAGATAAATAAATATACAGTGTAAAAACATCTTCGTTTCTTAGTTCTGTCATTTTAACTTTATTTAATCATTTTATTTTTATAAAGTCTATTAATTTTTTTATTGTTACATACAATCCATCTTGTTCATTTTTTTATTTATTAATATGATCTGTACAGATGACCTACATAGTTTCCGAAACGTCGTAAATAAATTCTATATTTTTTAAAAACAGTTTCATATTTAGAATTTCTTGTTATGAGCTCAACACTAATATGTATATATTTTAATTTATATATATATATATATATATATATATGGGTCTACATGAGTGGCATATATTCGTATATAGGTAATTAAACTATGGTGTTTTTACGGTTGATATCAGTTGTTTAGAATCAGTCAGAAACGATAAGAAAAGCTAGAAGGAAAACTTGGAAAATTCTTATCAGATGGCAGAGTTCAAAATACAACACAAAATACTACACAATAAAAGAGAAACTTTCTAGACTTAATAATATATTTCACGATTTCTTAGTATTGGCAATGTAGATTCCATTCATTGTTGTTTCTTTCTGCAAAGTTTTGCTCACTTTTTAGGTAAAAGTTTATTGAATTATGGGTATAAATTAACTAAATATTAATTTTATGAAATAATCTAGTAAGATACTTTTGTAATATGTAGGTATTTCGTTAATTGACGATTAAATTATATTTAGTAATAAAAAAAATGTGTCGAAAAAAATTCACAAAACGGCTATACCGATTTCAAAAATTTAAAAGCTATTTGATGAAGCTCAATAAGGACTCCCGTTGATTAGTTTTGTGAGACAATTGGCAGAACCGTTTTTTAGAATGAATAGAAAAATTCAAAATTTTTCGTCAACGTTTTCGCTAAAAATCGTAAGTCTATTTTCAAAATTATTTAATAAAAATAAATAAAAAAAGTAAGTTATCAAAATATAATTCAAAAACTGTTCAAAAAATATCTATTGGATTAGTTCTGATAAGATTGGCTACCTTGTTTCTTCGTAATTATTTGTTAAATTTATTTTTGGTGATTTTAATGAAACTTTCCATGCCGATAAAGTCAATGGCTCTAACTGACACTTCAAAATATTAGAGGCCTGCGAAAAGTAATTTAATTACAAAAATTCTAATAGTTTTTTATATGAATCATTTTTTTATATCCGAATTGCGGACTTTCATTAAGTACTTTATTATTCGATTATATGTAATTCTTCTTTATCTGTGATATTATATATTATATTTTTCGATCTATATGATTGATCGATTTTTGCTTTTGAGCCATTTATAAAATTCCATTCATCAAACAAAATTACATTTGTTCGTTTATTTTCATAACTTTCGTAAATTTTGCCTATAATTTTTAAAAAACCGAGACAATCCGAGACAAAAGGTCTATATCCGGGAAAAAATTGATTTTAGAATAACAATAATACATCTCATAAAACAATTAAATACCGTACACTTATACAAATATACAAATTATATTGAGGTCTCGTAAACTAAACAACAGTGCTCACAACTTAAAAAACCTAACAACGAAAGATTTTTTTTTAATTTTTTTTCAAACATTGCCGTTAATCTCCTGATAGCGACGTCATATCAAGGCGATGGTTAAGGTAAACAATTCTTAACTTTACTTGGTTTTGGGATATCGGTGGTGTCCTACGCCGCGGATCATTAAGCCCCGCTATACCATATATATTAGTAACGAACTTACCTCAAACTCCATTCTGACAAAATATGCACCATCACTGTCCACGCTGTAGACGGTAATAAATCCATCGCCATCAGCTGTGACAACGTCTCCGTCTACCTCAAATTGCAAACAGGTGACATGCGTTCGGGATGGCTGAAAAGGATGAAATACATTGTATGTAATAAATAATATAATGATAAATGATTAATAAGAACTCTATTTGTAATGTTGGGCTCGCCCGTAGGTAAGCGGTTAAGAGCGACGGGACTTGTTTCAGAGGTCCCGGGTTCGATACCCACTTCGAGCAGCCTGATGTCAGGCAGCAGTGACAACGATTTTCACTTGGAAATATAGATAGCAATATGTTTCGAACTCGGACTATTACAGAAATTGTAATAATAATTTATTACATTTAGGACTATTAGGTTCTGATTGCTGTTCAAAAATAATTATAAAAAAAAATTGTAATGTTAATATTTTTTTCAAAAAATTCAGTGTTATTTAACAGTGCATCAGATGCAAACAAATAAGGGAGCGTTCAATAAACACGTGAGCTTTGAAGTGTAAAGTTGACAAAAATCACGAAATATTACGTGGGCGAGTAAGATATCAGTGTATTTATTGTTTACTTCAATTTGAGAAAAAATCCAAAATAAAAAAAAAAAAATAAAGAAAATATTTTTTTTAGGTACAAAAAATGTGTGTGAGGTTAATTTCTAATATAAACCTGTATCACCAAGAGGAGGGAGTGTTTTTTTCCAAAAATCTCTCACGTGATTAATAGAGGCTCCCTAATCTTGAATATGAAACTAGATGTTTTTATTGCAAATTTATCATTATTAACCCTTTCCACTCGGATGCCGCCACTCATACTGCAAAGTACTTTTTAATTCTGCAATTTGCAAGTGGAAAGGGTTAATATTATGTATTATGGATAACTATTTTATATTTTCATCTTCGCGTAGGGTAAGTTATATTAATAGCAATAAACAAAAATAAGGTTTCTGAACATTTTGGCATACTTTAGAGAAAATAGATGTATGTGTGCGCAGATACAATTTTTTGTCGACGAAAATCGAAAGTATTTTTTACATAACTGCATTTATCATTTATAAGCAAAAATATGTTTTGAACTCAGACTATATTGATAATTACTTAAATTTATTATATTATTATATTATACCGGTTTTATAATATCAGTCCGTTCAAAGAATCCGTCTTTTCTTCGATTCCAAAACGTGAGATGTCCTTTTCCATGAGTTATCAATAAATTATCATCGAGAGGATGGAACGCAGCTCCCGTTAAGTCTTCTTGTAATGTCTGAAATATATTTATTTAAATATATATATCAATTATTCAATTAAAATCATTTATATTTTAAAAGTAGGCACTTACAGCAACTTTTCCTAATAAGTGACCCCATTGCCATTGCCACACTGACAGAATACTTTCTCTACCACCATCTACTGCCAGGACGTAACTGCCACCATTCTGAAAAAAAAAATTGAAATGAAATAGTAATTGGTGAATGATACAAAAATTAGTAGAACCCCGTCTACTTCAAGCCAATCCCTGCACTTTCAAACATTTTGTCCCTATTGTGCATTTGGTCAGGTCCTTGTAAAGTAGCCTTAACGGGATTTTACTGAACTTCAATATTTTCAATATTAAATAAATGTAATAGATGGTAATTTCTGCGAAGTCAAAATACCCTTCAACAATAAACCTAAATAAATTATTTAGATAAATTTTGATAACGACTATCATGTGGTCTGGAAATGATAATTAGTGTTTGATAAACCAATCAAGATTCAGAACCTCATGTTTTACCAAGTGTGTGATGACAATGCCAGTATGGATCAATGTTTTATTTCCATTTAATTCAATTTTACATTATAATTATATTTTTTCTTACCAATTGTGAGAATGCCACAGCTGCTACGCCGACGTCCAATTCTCCCATTCCAAAAACGTAGAGCGTTTGCAAAGTTTCCGTACTCCAAATTCTGATGTGTGCTTGAGTTTTTCTATTTCTTCCTGCCCTTTGACCAGAGGCCACCATTTCACGAGAAGGATGTAGGTCCATGCTATAATAAGAAAATCACAGTAATATTTAGTAAAAATATTTCTGTAGTATAAAGTACCCCATAGGGGGAAATTTATATTTATTTTTCATATAATCTGTTGGGATACTCTATACTTCCTGATTCCTAATTTATATTCCTCATGTTACGTAGTGTTTTATAAAATCTCCATATAAATCAATATGGATACAATTTTTGTCGATGTTTTTCGGAGCACCAATTAACCGATTTGAATTATTCAAAATATACTCTACTCCTGCTGATTGAAGCAGCAAAAATGTACAAAAAATGGGAATTCAGTTTTTGTGAAAACAGGATCCGATGAGATTGATTCAAAAGAAATTATATTTTTGCAAAGACAGATCCACCCGTTTTGGAGATACGAAGCAAAAAGTGCAAAAAATAGCCGTGAACGGAATCGTAAGTCTAATTGCCGCTCTGGACAATCTGATATCGGGCAACAGCGATGTCCATTTTCACTTGAAAATTTAGACAAAAATATGTTTCTCGTTGTAATTAGCCAATATCTGGCAGTGTAAGGTGGAAAATCTCTGACTATTTTTTCTTGAATCGAATTAGTGTTTAACTCAGCTCACGGACTTGCCCTAGGGCAGTACTACTCGTCATATTATATTATACAGTATTATTTTATACTTACCATTGTATGTCTTCGGTATGACCAGCATAATGTCTCTGAACACCTTCATCTCTGTCGTACATGACGGCAATTGCTGCAACATAGTACAAGAGTTCTCCAGTCGGGAGCACCCAAAGATTTCGCCTCGAATCGGTCCCTCGGTAACCATAACTATATTAATTTATCAGGAATTTATAAAATTTTGCGATGATTAACAGCTAATTAAGAGGAAATTCTCCAATAAAATAGAAACTATTTCGTATGATAATAACAAACCATTAAAAAGATATAGATTTGCTGTGCGATCAGACGTTTTACACATTAAACTAAAGGGCAAATTTAAGCTTTATTCAACGTTTTCTGAAAATTTTTGAAAAACTTTATCATCTTTCATGAAATTTAAACATTGTATAAAATTTATATTTTCTGCATAGTGCCATCGTTGTCAAAATTGATGAATTTGGTTAACGAATAACTCATAAATATTCAGATAACAAGAGTAATCAAAACATTGCGATGTATACTACATTAATTAGTAATTTTTATCTCTTCCTTGAATTTGCATGTGAACATATTGATTAGAATTACTGATATGTCAATGAATTACGTTATGGAAGTGAAAAGGATACACCCATTCTAATTGCATTCTCTTCTCTGGTGGAGAGTTGTCAACGGGTGCGTGATGTATTGGCGGATAGAAGGTTCTGCGAAGACCCCGTATTGTAACACGCACTGGCTCCTCCTTCAACACTTCCAAAAGAGTGTAATCTGAAAATAAAATTTATTTCCACAATCGTTGAGAATCTTACATTCAGTATTCTGCTAGCTACAGTTCGCCAATAATATTTGCATATCCATTGCTCATTTTATACACCGCCAGGACTCGATCCAAAGATCTCTGCGAGGCATGCTACTGACTGAGCTGAACCAATAGTAAAAATTTTCATAATTTTTTTCTTCTGATTAGTAGAATACAAGTTTAAAAAATTAAATCAAAATTGTTTTTTGGGGATTTTATATGGATGCATCCGAAAAAAATAAAAATATAAAAATCATGACTTCAAAAATGTCTAAAGCAGCATTTTATTTTAAAATTATTATCAACTTCCATAGTGATCTCAATCCATCCACCGCTTTTATAACAGCTTTGTAATTTACTGTTTTATTTTTGATAACAAAAAATATGTAACTAGTGTGAATCAGCAGAAATATACATATCAGATTTTAGACTACGCAACTAAACTACAACAGTGCTGTTTGGTATTTTATACTCGCATGCGTTTCTATTATAGTACATCAGTAATTAAAATTGGAATTAGAAAATTATTATATTAAGTATTATAAGTAATAATATACTAAGTATTAAAAGAAGATTGAGCAGCACATGAGCGAAGACCAGTTTGGTTTCAGAAAGAAAGAGGCATCAGAGATGCCATCGGAATACTGAGAATGTTGGACAAATGTCTCGACGTTAATAAGGACATTTGGTTCTGCTTTTTAGATTGGCAAGAAGCCTTTGACAGAATCAACTCAAGAACATTAAGGAAAATTTTAATCGATTGACGAGATCCAGAATCTGTATATGGGACAGAAAGTAAAAGTTTGAATAAACCATGGAGATAGTATAGAGAAGTAGGTAGAGGAGTGGGGCAAGGATCCTGTGCGGAGAATGACTTGTCAACGAGGACCTTGAAGTCGTTGATGATTTTTCGATTGGAGAAAGAAGATTGACTACCTTAAAGTACGCAGATGATGAATACGTGGTGATTTCAGAAATAGAAACTGAGTTACAAAACACGATTAGCAAAATCATTGAAGTGGACAGAAGATACGGAATGGAGATTAACATCAACAAATCGAAAGTGATGAGAATGTCAAAACGAGACGAGCCACTCAGGATAATGGTAGGGAATCGAGAATTGGAAGATGTCGATAATTTCAAGTATTTGGAAAGCATCCTGACCAGGGACCAGATACTGCACGAGGGAAGATCAGGGCAAAGATCGCAAGCGCCAAGGCGGCATTCACAAGGAAGTGAATGCTACTGACAAGCAAACTGAGTCTCGACTTGTGGAAGAGATTAATAAAGTGTTATGTCTGGAACTTAGCCCTGTACGGATCAGAGAGATGGATTCTGAGAAAGGCTGACAAAAATTATATGGACAGTTTTGAAATGTGATGTTGGAGGAAAATGGAGAAGAAAAGTTGGATAGATACAATAACACATAAACTCCTGAGAGGAGTGGACAAACTAAGAACTATACTGAGCATGACTCCGAAATGGAAAGGAAACTGGATCGGACATATTCTGCAAAAAGAGTGCCTTTTACACAACGTTGTAGAAAGTAAAATAGAATGACTAAAAGGATTCAGAATAAGAAGAATGCAATTGGTTGATGACATACGAGAGAAAAAAAAGTAAAGGAAATTGAAGGTCAGAGTACAGGATCAGGACGTTTGGGATCAGAAATTTGGAAAGAAGAATCCATAAGACGAAATAAAATGTACTTAATAGTAATAATATGGTAATGGGAATAATAAACAAGAAATGGAAAGGAAATCATTGATTTTTGATGCTCTGATACCATGCACAAATGATACCAAAGCCTGTTGATGCAATGAGATCACGAGAATTTTAATACTATAAATTTGAGTAATAGTATTGAACATTTTTATTGTATTAACCCATGCTTTTGACTGAGTAGTTCATTATTATTATTATGATCAGATATGTTTCTATAATGCCATTTAATTTTACGAATATTTTTCTCAATGAATATAAAAATGCTTAACTCCGTGCAACTTAATTTCTAAATCATAATGTTTAAGAACAAATAATAATTTGCTAAATATCTTGTAAAAAAATTTAATCTGAATTGCTCTTAAGACTCTTTTTTACAAAAACAGCTAATTTTATAATCATATATATTACATAGAGTGATATTTTAATTCTTACCTCTCCCGGTGGGTACAACTTCCCCATCAGCCGCATACAAGGCCCTGGGCCTGCTTTTGCTTCTGGCCCTCCTTTGAGGCGTTTTGGTTCCACTGGGTTCGTCACCAGCGACGCTGGCGGTTCCCGTGGGAACACTGCTCAGGTTTCCTCGGGATCTGGATCTTCTGACTATGGGAGATCCTATGGTTCCAATTACACCCGAACCGAGGTAGAATGTATCAAAATCGGCAAACTCGTTGCGGAGCTGCGAAAAACTACGTACCTTGGAGAAAGAAAAAAGTAGAGATATGTTAGATACATAGATAATATGTAAATTCTCCTAAAATACACCAGTTTACCCAAATTTGTATGCATATGACAATTTTATTTCAAATGATACTTACTTCTTGTCCGCTCGGAGTGAACATTCTTTTAGCACCGCTCATTTTTAAAACTTGGCCCAAGTCTTCCAAAACTTCTTCAAAAGGTTGTGATGTGCGCAGATTGAGTAGAACTCGACACTAAAATTATTAAACACTTATAACTCAATTACTTGTCCATGTGTGAGCTCCTATTGTTCATTTTTGTATAAAATGTATTTTCATAAATTAAAATTTATCAAATACTATTATTACTAAATGTACTAAATGGTATTATTAATACCATTTAAAGTTATCAATTTTACCTGTACACTATGGTCCATATTATTTACAATCCTTATGACTCTGCCCGCCGTTGGCTTCGTGCTCGCCATGTTAGGGTTGTGCATTGTGTCTGCTTCTGCAATGGAAGATTTACGGGATAACGAAGCTCTGCCCCAACCCTGACCACCGGGTGCAGCGTACCAGATGCCGTTCTTCTTACCGTAACTCGCCGGCTGCAATAATAAAAAAATTATAATTTAATAACAAAACTTGTAATTATAATCAATAAACTAGTGGTATATGCTTAGTAGGTTTTAGTCTCTGTAATTTATTTCAAATTTTGCACATCAAGTTTCATATCAATTTTTTGACTCCAAAGTATCTCGGAACTGGATCTGGATTCATCAAAAATTGATGTGCATATTATCAATATAAATCAAATATTTGTGAAATATGAAATCAGTTCAGCCATTTTTCTCTAAACTTGGCCCACACAAAAATGGACATTCTGGAAAGTTATACAGATTACGATACTAATATTTAATTTCGTGATATACTAAATATTATAAATGAAACATCATGACTATACAATTTGATTAATAATAAGTGATTTGTTGAATCTTTGAATCGTCGTTGAGCTTGAAAGCTCTCATCAAGATGAAACTTTAGTAGATTTTGATCGCTTGATTTCGTATTATATACATAGTATACCAAGATTGTATATGTTACACATATTCCATTTGTATTTCCGTAATGCATTTTTATAAAGCTTAGGAATTTTAAGAAAAACATATTGCATATAAGTACTCTATAATTTAATATCATTGAAATAATTATGTGATGTGCTTTATAACACACTGAGCGTTGAAAAAGATATGTTATTACGAAATTATGCATAGAGTGAACGCATTATTATTTGGCGTAAATTCAAGGACGTTACCATTTTTTACCTTAAATAGTTTACCATTTCATAGTTACATTTTTTATAAATGCGTATTTAGTTAAGTCGAACTGGTTTAAAAAAAAATAGTCACATCTATATTAAAAATATTCTACCTTTTTAAAAAATATTTTTTAATAATACCACTATTAATTTGAATATTAATTGCACTGTTAATTAATTTTAATATTATGAATAAGTCTAAATCATTTGTGTTTTTATGTAGTATTTTATAAAATGCTAAAATAATCATTTCCGTACTAAATATTTTTCTATGGTGAAAAAATTTAAATTAATGATTATAAGAAGCTTTTGCTTTCATCTTATTATAATCTAACTAAGAAAGTAATTAGTGAAACATAACTTTTAATTTTTTAAATTATATGAATAATCATATTCAATTTAAATTATAATCAATTTCAAAAATTTAAACGCCATTCGATGTATCTCAGAGGACCATCGTTTCTCGGTTTTGCGCGACATTCGGCCGAACCGTTTCTTTGTAATTTGCAAAAAAGTGTGAAACTTTTTGTCCACGTTTTAGCTTACAATCCTGAATCGATTTAAAAAAAATCGAAAACTGTTCGAAAGATATTGGTTGGGAATGATACTGGTTAGTTTTAGGTGAAGATCGACCGAGACGATTTTTATAAAACTTTTTTTGCCGATAGATATCATGGTCTTATAGAACATACTAAAATATTTCGGTCCTACGATAAGTAGTTTAATTTTAAAAATTCATCGACAATTAAAAAATATTTTAGTCAAAATTTGTGTCGAAAGTCGCTTTTGTGATGTAATAAGTCAATCAAGTTAATTAGAAATGGCTTTGGAATTAGCAAAAAGTAAATAACAGTCTTCAAAACTTTTCTCAGGGTGTGCAAAAAACAGTTAGCATTTATTTAAATTATCAAATAATATCTAGAACTACGTTTATGATATATGTAATCATAGCAGTATTTTATTATAGCAGATGCAATATTTCACAAAATAATTTATTAAGCGTTAAAAAAAAATGTTTCGACGTTCTTCATGAAACTGAACATTTCGATATAGTTTATTCGTTAAATAGTTGTACGAAAAGTGGAATACTAAAATACAATTTTAGGACATATAAGCACACGTGACTGTGTACTTTAATTAATAAAATTGCAGATATTATAAGTGTGTTTGAGAGATCAATTGGAAATTGCAATGCTTTGACCAAGCGAAAGCTTGATTTTTGAAATAAACTGTTGAAAATTTTATCTGAATATATAAATCTCAAATTTTTGCAATTTGTCTTGAGTCAAAATGTCACTTTCAACTAATTGTGTTTGTATACAAAATAATAAAAAAAAAACTTTCTTAACTTATATGTATTCAATGATGAAATATTCAAGCGATTCAATTAAATCTAAGCAAATATTTTTTAATCGATGAATCACATAAATCAGAAATCTGGTTATGGACCCTTATGGGTGTAGGCCCTTATATATGTGCCTACACTCTTAGATCATCTATCTCTATGTGCAAAACTTTTAATTGCCATTTTTCTCTATGGATCTCATATAAAAATTCTACTCTTCACTATGGACTCTGCCACTCTATAAGTTCTATATTTTCGGGCCCTTTCAAAAAAAAGCTTGGTAATTAGGTAACAAACACTTTCTCTCTAGATCTCAAGCTTACACAATATCGTAATCCATATTAAATCAATAAAATATTTTACTGTTAAATAATGTATTAAAAGTTGTGTTTTGTGTTCAACTATTATCCCAAACGCTAAAGGCAGTCTTAACAATGCCATTAATTAGATGAGATCGATTCCGATTAACGAAATTCCTCCGACTGACTTGGATTGCATGAATGCATAGAACTCGTCGCTTAGCCTCCGTAATGAGTTTTTGTCATGACTCGCAAATTATTTAAGTGAAAATTAATCACACGGCACGTACTTTTCTTATACGAAGCGGTCCGATATTTTTTCCTCTACTGTTATTATTTTCCCACATATATTTTTCCTTCGTCTCGTTATTTTAATTAGCTTTGCATGGCATTGCATTCGGTCAGGTGGTTAGTTGGTCAGGTGGTATATGGTATGGTGTGGTATGCTGGTCTCGGCGTGTGGCATTGCTGATAAAGAACTGGAACTGGAACTGGAGTCGGGTCAGGTATCGCAGGTAATTGTAACGCTCACTCGAAACGGCGCGATTTGATACGAAACGACAGATTCAGATAAGGAAATCGATCAGATTCTTTTAATATAATGCTTTCTATTAGAACTAGTCGTATGTGGCATCGTGCCTCAAAACACATTGGCCGTTGTAAGAAGCAAACGTTGTGACGGGAACTTCGAGTCCTGACACTGACATAGGATTATCATTTTATTTGTTGGGTGGAAATTAAATAGAATTTAAATTGTTGATTTAAATTTGAAATAGAATAGAATTAAAAGTTGAAAAAAAAGATTGCGCGTATGGTTCACACGCTATTGAAGTAAAACTTATTTTCTACTGTACAAGATGGCATTTAAGTAAAAATAAATACATCATATAACAATTTTGAATAATGTTTATTTGTAATATGGCAACACTTGTGATGCACACACTTATTAGTGTCAACCATTATACACATTTATATAATGATACATTATAAATTATATATTTATAATGGCATTTAAAATATGTATAATATTCAAAAACAATAATGTAATTAAAGTCATACTTCAATGACATGATCGGTTTCTCATTGTAATAAGCATTTAGAAATAAACATTCATTAGAGAAATGAAGTAATTGCTGATTAATAAAAATTCTATAATATTCGTTCACACAGTAGATTATGTTATACAACGCCTAAACAATTATTGTTTTTGCAATATCACTCATCATGTAATAATTGAGTTTGAAGAACTTCATGTAATTTAAATTAACATACATTCATTGACTGATGGTATTTTTTTATTTTTTCGCTGGCGATATAATCTCATTCTTTGAATAGCTGTAATATCTGTTTTGCTTGAAAAATATTTTCCATTTCAATAACTTCAAAGATTTATAGAAACTACGAATAATATAGACATTATAAATAAAGAATTAATGCTGCATTTGTTTTATTATTTTCATTATAATTATTTACTGAGGACAGGGTAAAATATTCTTCTGATTCAGGCATTTTTCTTTAAATCGGGTAACAATGTAACTTTAAAATGTTTATCTATGCCGATTTCTTTGTTGGTATCGGTACGCATGCAACGACAGATCTTTATTCACATATGCGGCGACTAATCATAATCGACCCGTATAGAAATGATATCATCGAGATCGAATGACGAATCATTGGCACGCGACTCTTATCTTATCTGCCGTAACGCACTTCCGTTGCATTTGTACGAATTCAGACCCTAGTCGCGCCTAAAGAAGTTTTACTTAAAAAAAGAAACAAGGTTGAGCGAATTTGCTCCAATTTAGACTTTTCTGCCCCCATAAGTGCGTTTATGTGACTCTTTATTTAAAACAAAAAATATTGATTTTTAATAAAATTACCATTGACTTGTTAAAATATCGATTATTAACTAAAACCGCCTTATTAGCGAAACTAAACTATAAAAATTTTAATAAAATCGTTTCAAGCACAATCTTGAAATTGAATTTAAAAAAATATTTGTGGAAAAGCTCTCCTTTAGGTTAGAAGTAAAACTACAATTAAGAAGTCAGTTATAAAGAAAACTGGATAATATAGGATATATAGAAATAGTATAATTTGATAATTTAAGAGAATTTCAGGATTTATACAATAAAAATCCAGATTTTAATTACTGATTTATACTAAATTAGTATGGAGTAGGAGAGCCTGGTTACGATTGTGCTACTTTTTTGATTAGTCATAATTTTGTTAATTTACCAGTTAGCTGGGAGAAAAGGAAACTAAATCGTATTTTGAACATTTGTCTCGTGGGAATACTGAAATTATTTTCTTGAATATGATATAAACACCAAAACACCAAAACACGATATAAACACCAAAATCATTTGGACTCTTATTGTCCAAAATATGTAACACAACACGACATAATCATGTAAACAAAACTTACGAATATAATATAACAATATATAACAGAACATAATTTTTCGAACAAAAAATTTTTGTGAATAATTTTGTTTTCTTGTATTGATTTTTCCTTTTCCTTTCTCTTTCGTATTTTGTCTTAGTTAAGTTACATATAAAAAAATATGTTTAAATTTCATCCATAAAGGACAAGAAATGCATGTCACAACATATACATATCACATAAAACTATTGCTGTTAAAA